TCACCCTTCTTCTCATCACCCTTCTTCTCATCACCCTTCTTCTCATCACCCTTCTTCTCATCACCCTTCTTCTCATCACCCTTCTTCTCTTGACTTCTCTTTTCCTCATTCGATTCCCCTGTTTCCCCCTTACCTTTAGCCTGATTCTTCTTCTCCTCCTCCTTGGCCTTCTTCTCCACCTCCTTCCGCTTCTCTTCTTCCCGCTTCTTTTCTTCCTTGATCCTTTCTTTCTCCGCTTGCTCTTCCTTGGCCCAGTTGCGGTACTTATTGGCCTGGTCGGGCTTCCCCTTCAGCCGCTCCTTCAGGTCGGCCGTCGTCAGACGAGTGTGCCCCTCACCCACCTTGGCCCGGCCAACTAGGCTGATCAGCAGGGCCACACCCACGACTGCCGTCAGGACGAAGCGGTAGGTACCGTACCACGGTGGTGCCCAGCCCTTGACGGTCGCGCGGGAGTCGGCGTAGTACAGGGCACAAAAGGCGGCGAACTGCGTCGTCAGCGCCCACTCGGTGGGGAGGAAGATTGTGGGCCACGCCACGGCGGGCGCAAAGACGCCGACGCCGTATCGGAGCCGTGTACGGTCATGAGAGGCCTGCTTCTCGGCGAACTCCAGTCCCCAGTGTATGGCGCCGAGGAACGAGATAATGATGGCGCCATATCCGACTTGGATAGGCTCGAGAATCTGCAGCCAATGTGTAGCGGATTCGTGGCTAAAGAGAATGCTGTTGAGAAAGGCTGACTGTGTGGGCCATTGGGTGTTGAGATTCCACGAGAGGAAGACGGTGGAGAGAGAGGTTGCGAGATAAGGTAGTGTGCCTGCGAGGCCGAGTCCGTATGCCTCCCGAGGAACTGTAGCTAAGGCGAAGGTCTCCTTGATCGTGTTCTGTGGGTGCCGATAACATTAGCTTGGACACGGGAAGCAAGGAGACAGAACATGACATACCAAATCGCCCCTCAAGCCCTCCATGACGTCGACTTCGGCGCCTGGCTGTGGTGGGCTACTCTCAAGCACGCTACGGACGCTTGAAGTGCTTGACACCTCCTCTGGACGGGCTTCAAGCTTCCTCTGAGCCAGTTCCCTCTCGGATTCCCGATCGATCCCCTTAGGCTGCAGCGGTGGCTTTGTGGACATGCCGCGGGCCGAGATTTGAAGGAGGCAGGACCGTGCAGCTACGCCAGAACTTGGAGGGTGTGATGAAGAGACCCGGGTCAACAATAGAGATGGCTGTGCTCGAAGGGCTCGAGTTTTAAGGGCAATGGTCGGGGTAGCGAGGACCCTGGGCGGTCGTGCCGCGCGCATGGTGGTAGAGAGCATCGTTAAGGGGGAAAGGAAAAAGAAATGGACACGAAACAAGTGTTGAGATGTCAAGTAACCCGAAGGTGTCGCCAATGATGGATGCTCAGGGCAGATTCGCTGGCCAGCAACGGATGCAAACAGTCGAAAGACGCAGCAGCAGGTGAGATTGCAGCGCGAACGGGTCTGGACGTTTGGGCGAAAACATGGCACCCAACAAGTATTCGCTTCGTTTATCAGAATGTAAACGAAGAACACCACAAGAGTCCATAACCTGGCCGTGAAATAGCCAACAGCATCGCTTCATACAGGTTGTGGTACGCCGGCATGTCGGCATTCCAAGTTCGATGCGGTCGAGAGCTGCGTTGGCTGCCATGACGTAATTGTACCCTCGACTCGGAAGCTGGAGGTGAAGGTGGGCCACCAAGCAATTGGCGGGGGAGCAGGAGGGGCATGCTAAAAGAGCCCCGACCGTGAAAATAAAAAGAAGCAATACAAAACCCACTCGGTCCATTCCTAAAGCGCGACAAACCAACATACTGGTTGAGAACGAATTTTGATAGAGATACCCAAAATGTCTTACACATGAATTATTACGGGTAGTCGCAGTCAGAATCGCTGCCCTCTTTTACTCGACACACGTGTAGCCGGTTCATCTGTTCAATCGACATCGTCCCACAATGTGGCAGTTGCATCCACCCCACTGCCGTGCAACTGTGACAAGGGTGAACAGCGGCCCGAGCTTCGGGTTTTACTGTGGGCCCGGGCAGCAACAGCAATGGGCACAGCTTGCAAGGCCACGACCCTTCATCGTCATCGGCACCTCGCGAGGGTTTGGAATCCCAACCCGCCGCTGCCACCACCAACTCGTCGCCTTCCTCCTCACTGCTGCAGTCTGCTCTTCTAAATTGTCACTTAAGAGACTTCTCTACATTCCCTAATCACGCATTTATCTGTTTAATTGCCCGTTTTCCAAGGTTCTCGTGAGTTCTTGGCTCCCGTCTCTCCCGGCGTCCCTCTCCGCTGCCTCTTCTTACACCTAAACCCTCACTAACTGGCGCTATTCAGACGGTGAGGCTTCATTCACAGAAGGCCGACCATCTCGGCTGTCCCCGCGGCTGTTGCATGAGACGAACGACTCCTTGACGGCAAAACGAGCTTCGATCTAAGCAGGCCCCAGCGACGATAATCTGAATTCTTCCCACCCCGACCCTGCAAATGAAACACGAGGCAGCAACGCGATAGACACTTATTACACGATCCTGGCCCGGGTTACGGCACCCCACAGTCAAGATGCTGGAAGGCCTGGTCGCGGGCCTCCTGAACCGCTTCTTGGGCATGTACGTCAAGAACTTTGATCCCACACAACTCAAGGTGGGCATCTGGTCAGGAGACGTCAAGCTCCGCAATCTCGAACTGCGACGCGAAGCCCTCGACCAACTCAAGCTGCCCATCAACGTCGTTGAAGGACACCTAGGCGAGCTCACACTAGTCATCCCGTGGTCCAACTTGCGCGGGGCACCTGTCAAGGTCTTCATCGAGGATGTCTTTCTGCTCGCCTCCCCCAAGGAGGAGGCCGAGTACAACGAGGAAGAGGAAGCCCGTCGGAAACAAAGGATAAAAATGGAGAAGCTCGACTCGGCCGAGCTGCTGAAGGAACGGTCGCAGGAGGGTCTCAGCCCCGAGGAGCAGAAGCGCACCCAGAGCTTCACAGAGAGCCTGGTCACCAAGATCGTCGACAATCTGCAGGTCACCGTCAAGAACATCCACGTTCGGTACGAAGACGCAATATCCGCGCCGGGCCACCCTTTTGCCCTGGGCATCACGCTCGAGGAGTTCAGCGCCGTCAGCACGGACGGGGAATGGACGCCCGCCTTCATCCAGTCTTCAACCAAAACGACACATAAGCTTGCCACGCTAGAGTCGTTGGCAGTATACTGGAACACAGATACCAAACTCATGGGCCCAGGGCGCGAGGCACACACACCAGGAACCGAGGTCACCCCACATGACCAGATACTGGAGAGCTTCAAGTCCATGATTGCGAGGGGTGACGGCGACCTATCTCAGAGCCACCAGTTCATTCTGAAGCCTGTCTCTGGCCAAGCAAAGATCGAACTTGACAAGACAGGAAGCCCCCAAGTGCCCAAGTTCAAGGCAAACTTGCTGTTTGACGAGATCGGCCTGGTGCTGGATGATCAGCAATACCGCGATGCTCTGATGATGGTGGATCTCTTCCATTACTTCATCCGACATCAAGAGTACAAGAAGTACCAACCCAAGGGCGTGACGCCAAAGGAGGATCCAAGAGCGTGGCTCAAGTTTGCCGGCGATGCTGTCCTTGGCAAGATACACGAGCGGAACCGCCGCTGGTCCTGGGACTACTTCCGTGAGCGCAGAGATGACAGGCGTCGGTACATCGAGTTGTTCAAGAAGACCAAGCAGAATCAACCGTTGTCTCCGCAAGAGAGCGATGACATGAACAAGTTGGAATGGAAGCTCAGCTACGAGGATCTCCGCTTCTGGCGCTCCTTGGCCCGCAATCAGCTCAAGAGAGAGAATGCCGAAGCGCTCAAAAATCGCCCTCCGCCTCAGAAGCAGCAACAGCAGGGCTGGTTGTCCTGGGCGTGGGGTGCGAAACCGCAGCAGCAGGAGAAGCAGGACGGGACCGAAAACATTCAAATCACCGAGGAACAGCGCAAAGAGCTCTACGAAGTCATTGACTGGGACGAAAAAACTGCGCTCGCCGCCGATGTCGACCAACCCAGGGACACGGTCAGGATGCAGATCGAGACTTCGCTCAGCACTGGCAGCTTTACGCTCAAGCAGAGCCCACATGAAAATGCCAGGGACCTGATCAGCATTCACTTTGATGTCTTCAAAGCCAAGGGCCTCAAGCGGCCCGACTCGTTCCTCGTGGACCTCAGCCTTGGCGGTTTCCGGGTCAATGACGGCACGACTCCCAGAAGCTTGTACAAGGAGATCGTTCGAGTCAAGGATGCGCCAACACGCGAGGCAGACAAGCGGTTGTCTATTGCCGAACTCGAGACGACTCGGGAAGAGGCCTTCTTCCAGTTCCAATTGGAGCAAAACCCCCTGGACGAGCAGGGCGACATCGCACTGACGGCCAAGCTAAAGCCCCTCGAGATTGTTTGGAACCCAAATGTTGTTATCGGAGTTGCGGACTTCTTCAGGCCCCCTGAGCGTCACATGGAGTCCATCAACGCGCTGATGGAGACTGCCGGCGCCACGGTTGAAGGACTTCGGGAGCAAACAAGGGCCGGACTCCAGTTCGCGCTCGAAGAACACAAGACTGTCAATGCCAAGTTGGACCTCCAGGCTCCTCTCATCATCGTGCCCGAAACCATCACCAGCAGGAGCGCGCCATGTGTGATCCTCGACGCAGGCCATATCAGTGTCACCAGTGAGCTTGTCGACAAGGAAACCACAAAGGAAGTCGAATCCAAACAAAGGCAGACATACACCGAGGAGAATTTCAAGCGGCTCGAATCCCTCATGTACGACCGCTTCCTTGTCAAGCTGACGTCCACCCAAGTCTTGATCGGTCCATCGGTCGAGGAAACGAAGCGGCAGTTGGTAGAAAAAGACGACCAGCGCATGTTTCACATTGTGGACAAGATCAATGTTGACTTCGTTGTGGAAACTTCAATCCTACCGAAGGCCCCCAACCTCACTAAACTCAGGGTTTCTGGCCACCTGCCTGTGCTGCAAGTGAGCGCGTCGGATTCCAAATACAAGACGCTCATGCGTATTATCGACATTGCGATACCTAAGTTCGGGGACAACGAGCCCACCCCGCCCCAGGACACTGCGGGACTCAAAAGACCTCGTCTCGCCAGCAGCGCGTCATCTCAGCCACGGGGATGGAGCGAGAGAAGAATCTCAACACCTCTCCTCCCATTTTCCACGCAGCAGGAGGCAATCATCCTTGAGGATGACGACATTGACGACCACGATGATAAGTTCGAGGATGCCAAGGACGGCTCATCTGGTGAACAGCTGAGGATACAGCAGCGCATTTTCGAGTTCAGGTTCACAGTGGACAAGCTGAAGGGCTCGTTGTACCGCAGCGATCCTGAAAGGAAGAGGCCCGACGATCTGCTTGTTGAGCTCGTTGCCGAGCACTTTGGCGTCGAATTCCATCTTCGGCCGTATGACATGGGCGCCGAGGTCTCGCTCGGCTCAGTCACCGTCGACGACTTCGTTGACAATCCACCTGCCGAGTTCAAGTCGATTGTATCGTCGGGAGATGTCGAAGACCGCCGAGATGCGAGGGACCTTGTGCATGTCAAGTTTGTCAGAGTCAAGAAAGAGTCTCCGGAGTTCATGACGGTGTACGAAGGGATCGAAACAAACGTCGACGTTGCCATTTCTACTATCAACCTGGTCGTGACGCGAAAGACCCTACTCACTCTGCTCGACTTCATCCTCGTCACCTTCACCAATTACCAACCCGCTGATGGCGCTGCTTCCAGAGCCCTCGCGGACCAGGATTCGGAGCCGGATGTCGTGGAAGAATCCCACTCGCCCGTCGAGCAGCCTGAGAGTGGAGCCATCAGGGTCAAAGTTGATCTCAAGAGTATACGGCTCATCCTGAATAACGACGGCATCCGGCTGGCAACCTTGTCGTTCAATCATGCTGATGTCGGAGTCTTCCTGCTCGGCCGGTCCCTGCGGGTTTGGACAAAGCTTGGAGACTTGAGCTTAGTAGACGACGTTAACCTCGGCGTTTCTCAGGACTCAAGCCTGCGCCAACTCGTCACTATTCAAGGAGACGAGCTCGCCGATTTCCGATACGAGACATTCGACCCCACAATATTTGAAAAGTACCCTGGTTACGACTCGTCCATCTATCTGCGGGCCGGATCTGTCAAAGTGAACTTCGTTGAAGAGCCGTTTCGCAAGATCGTCGATTTTCTCGTCAAGTTTGGCAAAATGCAGGCCATTTACAATGCTGCACGTCAAGCCGCCGCGAACCAGGCCAGCCAGCTGCAGCAGAGCCAAAGCCGCATCAAGTTCGATGTTGTGGTCAAGACGCCCATCGTTGTGTTTCCCCGCGTCATCTTCTCAGAGAGGCCGAAAAGGGATGTCATCACAGCCTATCTCGGAGAAATCTACGCGCAGAACAAGTTTGCACCACTTGACGACTCAGAGAACTCGGAGATTGGGATGAAGCTGTCTGCCGGCATCCGAAACATCAGGTTGACGTCCAACTTCCACTACAGCGATGACCGGGAAGAAGAGTTGCAACTCATCGAGCATGTTGATCTCGGGTTCAAAATCACGTATGCTGAACACAAAGATGGCGTCAAGCGGCCAGACCTGGAGATCGAAGGCTCCATGACCGATTTCAACCTTCGCATCACATCACACCAGCTCCGCGCTCTCCTGGAGATCTCCAGATCCGTCCCTGCCGTGTTCGCCGGCGATGTCGAACAACACACTGCGGAGGCCGAGCGGGATGTCGGTGGCGCCACCCTTGCGCGTGCTAGAACCATGCCGGGCTATGGCGGCGGCAATGCAAACGAGAAGCGGATCGACATGAGCCCGGAACTCGGCACGCACGGAGAAGCTTGGACGAAGTTGGACCTCATATTCACGGTGAATGAGATTGGCCTGGAGCTGATCAACTCCTCCGAGGACGCACCCGTCGGTGACCCCCATGCCGCCAGCCTGTCCAGGTTCAGCCTCAATGCCAGCCGCCTGAAGACCCGCATGGACTCAAACGGCAGCCTCGAAGCCGAGTTCGTTATCCAAGCTCTCACAATTCACGACACGCGCCACCGGGAGACGAACAAGTTCCGGCGCATCATGACGAGCAGCAACAACAGCGTCGAACAGCTGATGGCTAGCATCACAATGTCTGGTGGCAAGGATCGAAACGTTATTGCCATGGTCGCCGTCGACAGCCCCCGGTTCATCTTTGCGCTTGACTACCTCTTCGCAATCCACAAGTTTATCACCGTTGGCACCGAAGTGGTCGAACCGGATCTTCCCGAGAGGAGTCCACTGGAAAGCCCAGAGGAAATGAGCGACGCGGATTCCGTGCAGGTCCATAACTCCGTTCGACACTCAGAAAGAAGCAGCAGCCAAGCAATCCGGTCGATCAGCCAGCAGCCAGAGCCAGAGCCGCAAAAGGAGGAGGGAAAGATGACCTTAGCCTACCGGGTCAACGTCGTTGATGCACAGGTCATCCTGATCGCCAACCCGCTGAGTTCCAGTTCGGAAGCGATTGTCTTGGGAACGAAGCAAGTGGTCCTGTCCCAACAGCACGCCCTCACATTCCAGGTCTTCCAGTGCGGCATGTTCCTTTGTCGCATGGACCGTTTCGACGACTCGCGCTTGAGAATCATAGATGATTTCTCCATCCAAATGTCAATGGACACTTCACAGCCCGCAACGACAAAGCTCCACGCCGATATCGAGCCGCTGATTCTCCGGTTATCGCTCCGAGATATCCTCCTTGTTATGCAGACGATAGCCAAGGCCTCGGAGCTCTCGGGAGCTGCCGTTGTCGACAGGGAGGCCACGGCATCGGAACAGAAGGCGAAGCAGCTCAAAGCACCTGGCCCAAAGACGAGAACCGCTAGCGGCAAGGCCATGTCGGCATCGGCTGCAAGGACAAGGCGGACAAGCAAAAGCGCAGGTAGCATCATGCAGAAGGGTGCAGCTCCGCCTCCCCACGACATCGTCAAGCCGCCGCCAAGATACGAGGAGCTCACCGTCTCAGTCGATGGGGTTCGTGTTGTGCTGCTTGGCGATATCCACGAACTTCCCATTCTCGACATGAGCGTCAAGAACTTCACGGCCAGTGCGGAGAACTGGTCATCAAATTTGAAAGCGGAAACGGCCATCGAGATGTACACAAACATCTACAACTTTGCCAAGTCTGCCTGGGAGCCTCTAATTGAGCCTTGGCAGGTTGGACTCGGAGTCGCGCGGGATCAGAAGACAGGGGTCATGTCGGTAGACCTGTCGTCCAAACGCAACTTCGACGTGACCATCACCACCGCCACCATCGCTCTCTTGTCCAAGTCTTTTGCCTTCTTCGCGCAGGACCAGGACGTCCTGAGCAAACCTCGTGGGGTTGAGGCGCCCTACCGGATTCGGAACCACACCGGCTTCGACGTCGTAATCTACGCTAAGCGGCAGAGCAGCGCGGAGATAACTTCTCTGCGCCTGGCGGATGGCCAAGAAGTGCCTTGGAGTTTCGAAGACTGGGAGAAAATGCGGGAGAGCCTGATCACCGAGAACGCCAGCGCAAACAATGTGTCGGTGCAGCTTGAAGGCAGCGGCTTCGACATGGTTAAGAACATCCGGCTCACGCGCGAGGGCGAGTTCCTGTCCAACTTAAAGCCGAAGAGGGATGGTGTTCTGCACAAACTCCTAGTGGATATCAAGTTGGGCACCGACAACATCAAATATGTGACGCTGCGCAGCCCGTTGCTGGTCGAGAACGAGACGGATCTCCCGGTCGAGCTTGGTGTCTACGATGCCCATGAGGGCCATCTGCTCAAGATCGAAAAGATTGCCCCTGGTGAGAGCAGGCCGGCTCCGGTTGGGGCGGCCTATCTGAAGAGCCTGCTCGTCCGCCCCGATCCTGGCTTCGGCTACGGCTGGGGCAGTGACTCACTGTGGTGGAAGGATCTGCTTAGGCGGCCGACCAAGACTCTGGTGTGCAAAGGAGAGCATGGCGAGCCCTTCTATTTCCAGATGTCCACGCGCTGGGACAAGTCCAACCCAATGACCAGGTGAGATCTTGTGGCCTTGTGACGTGACGAGTGAAGCTGACAATCGCAGGAACTATCCTTACATGCGGATCAAGTTGTCTGCGCCGGTCACGCTGGAGAACCTGCTACCCTATGACTTCAAGTATCGGATATACGACAAGAACACGAAGAAGGACTGGTCAAACTTCCTCCGCAAGGGGGGCATCAGCCCTGTGCATGTTGTCGAGCTTTCCCATCTTTTACTCCTGAGCGTCGACATGCAAGACACCCCCTTCAAACCCAGCGAGTTTGCTATCATCAACGCCGGCGAGACCGACGATTTCAAGAAGGAGACGCACCTTGTCTGTCGTGACGATGCCGGCATGGCGTTGAACCTCAGACTACACTACTTCCGCATCCCGGACAGCGGCGGCGCGTTCAAAGTCACGGTCTACAGTCCTTATGTCGTCCTTAACAAGACGGGGCTGGATGTGAGCATCCGCTCCAAAGGTTTCGTTCAGCACGCGAAAGCTACGGCGGGTCAGACACTCATTGACTTGGGGGACGGGAACGAGCACAAGGCGCGGCCAATGATGTTTTCGTTCAACAGCGATGACCACAGGAACCGAGCCGTCCTGAGGGCTGGCGATTCGGCATGGAGCAAACCTCAGAGTTTCGACGCCATTGGAAGTACCACCGAGGTCGCCCTCCAGTCGGCCGGCAAGAACGCAGAGATCCACCTCGGCATCACGGTCGACTCGGGCCTGGGCAAATACAAGATGGTCAAGACGGTGACCCTGGCGCCGAGATATGTCATCCAGAACAGACTTGGAGAGGACATCAACGTTCGTGAGCCCAGCTCGTCCAGCGTGATGTCGCTGAAGAGCGGCTCCCTCCGGCCACTACACTACCTCCAGAGGGGACCCGTCAAGCAACTGTGTCTTTGCTACCCCGGCGTCGACACGCAATGGACGGCGCCTTTCAACATCTCGGATATAGGCACGACCCATCTCAAAATTGCCCGGCCTGGCCAACGGCAGCGGCTTGTTCGGGTTGAGATCCTCATGGAAGACGCCACCATTTTCCTGAATCTCAGCATGGAGCACAGGAACTGGCCATTCTCCATGCGTAACGAGAGCGACACCGAGTTCACGTTTTACCAGGCCAATCCCGACATCGACGAGGATGTCACCGAGGACCATTCCGGGTGGAGGCCCGTCAGGTACCGTCTCCCACCGCGTAGCATCATGCCGTACGCTTGGGACTTCCCGGCCGCCAAGCACAAGGAGGTGTGCATCAGCGCGTACGGCAAGGAGCGTCATGTCAAGCTGCAGGAGATCGGGAATCTGTTGCCCATGAAGTTCGTTGGCACCAACGGTCAGGCAAAGATCATCGACATTAATGTTACTGCTGACGGGCCGACGCAAACGCTCATCTTGTCCAACTTTAAACAGTCAAAGAGTTTGTACCGCCAGCGGTCTAACGCCGGATCGACCAGCAGCCGTGAAGGCTTTGAGGCGAAGGAACTCGACACCAACACGACGTTCAGGGCACAGCTGAGGCTGTCTGGCATCGGCATCTCGCTCATCAACTCACAACTGAAGGAGCTGGCGTACATCACCTTCAGAGACGTGCAGCTCCGGTACAGTGACTCGCCGATGTACCAGACGGTGAGCCTGGCGGTAAAGTGGATCCAGATCGACAACCAACTCTACGGCGGCATCTTCCCGATGATCCTCTACCCTAGTGTGGTTCCAAAGAGGGCACAGGAGATCGAGGCACACCCCTCGCTACACGCAATGGTGACCAGAGTCAAGGACGACTCGTATGGTGTCGAGTATATCAAGTACGCCACCGTTTTGGTCCAGGAGATGACTGTGGAGCTTGATGAGGATTTCATCTACGCGGTGTTGGAGTTCTCCAAGATCCCCGGCGCTTCCTGGTCGTCGACTGACGAGGAGGATAAGTTGTGCGATGACAACATCGACATACCGCAGCCGAAGCAGCAGCAGGCAGGTCGGGACATTTACTTTGAGGTGCTCAACATTCAGCCTATGCAGCTCGACCTCTCGTTTGTCCGGACCGAGAGGGTCAACGTGGAGGATAAGACCTCGTCAAAGAACCCCATCATGTTCTTCTTCAACGTCATGACCATGGCGCTGGGCAACATCAACGACGCTCCCGTGCGGTTTAACGCGCTGATGCTGGAGAACGTGCGCGTCTCCATTCCGGTGCTGATCCAGAACATCTCGAACCACTACAGCCAAGAGGCGCTGTACCAGATCCACAAGATCCTGGGCAGCGCCGACTTCCTCGGCAACCCCGTCGGGCTGTTCAACAACATCAGCTCCGGTTTTGCCGACATCTTCTACGAACCGTACCAGGGGCTCATCATGTCCGACAAGCCAGAAGACTTTGGGCTCGGTCTCGCCCGCGGCGCCGGATCTTTCTTCAAGAAGTCCGTTTACGGCTTCAGCGACTCATTCTCCAAAGTCACAGGCAGCTTCGCCAAAGGCCTCGCAGCAGCAACCTTGGACAAGCAGTTCCAAGACAGGCGGCGCATCACCCGGGCTCGTAATCGGCCCAAGCACGCCCTGTTTGGCGTCACGGCCGGCGCCAACAGCCTCTTCACATCCGTCGCCTCGGGCGTCGGCGGCCTCGCGCGCAAACCACTCGAGGGCGCCGAGCAGGAAGGCGCTCTGGGTTTCTTCAAGGGCATCGGGAAAGGTGTTGTCGGGCTCGCCACGAAGCCGGCCATTGGCGTGCTCGACTTCGCGTCCAACGTGTCGGAGGGCGTGCGCAACACGACGACGGTGTTCGACGGCAGCGAACTCGACCGTGTGCGCCTGCCGCGCCACATCCCAGCCGACGGCGTCGTCCGCCCTTATTCCCAGCGCGAGGCGCTCGGCCAGAGCTGGCTCAAGCAGGTGGACAATGGAAAGTACTTTGACGAGGCGTACATTGCGCACCTGGAACTGCCGACCGAAGACATGGTGGTCATGGTGACGTATGCGAGGATCTTGCTGATACGCAGCCGCCGGCTGCAGACCGAGTGGGATATCCCGCTCAAGGACGTGCAGACGATTGCCAAGGAGAGGACGGGGTTGAGTCTCACGTTAAGGGGTGGGACGAATGGGCCGTTCATCCCCATTAGTGAGGAGAGTGGGAGGACGTTCATCTATCGCATGATTGCGGTTGCGGTTGAGGAGTTCAATCGCAGGTTTAAGGGCTTGGAGTAGGGTGCCGACTTTTTCTTTGTTGAGCTCGTGGGCTGGGTCAAGACTCGGAGGGAGAAGCGGTGGCGGAGGCGGAGGCGGAGGACGCATAGGCCGGGCGTCCTGACCGAGCCAACGGAAGAGGCGGATGGAAGTTTGTGAAGCCCCCTAGTAGCACTGAGTGTTCTTTGTATCCTCACTTACCTAGATTTTGCATGGCGTTGACGATCAATATGTGACGAGAACAAGAAATGATCGTTCAAGTTACTCACCTGGCCCCGGTGCTGTCTGGTCAGGTCCTTGACATGTCTGCGCTCAACCACCATATCCCGTTATGGGGCAGTTGAAACCCATGGAGAGTCAAACCACACCCTTCCCGGCTGGTGTAGGATAACTTTATTCCGATTCTCGGGATAGGGGCTTCGATGGTCCAACGTCAGGTTACCCAGAACCCATAACCGATACGATGAGTTTAGGGTTAGGCTGTGCTTCCAGGGTGGGGGCCCCTTTTGTGTTATATATCGATAAGATAAGGATGTCCGCCCTGGCATTGGCGCGGCAGATCGTCCTGCAACCCGAGCCGCTCCTTCCTCACACTCAACATTCTCAGCACAGAGTGACCATACTTCACACCTATCCAGAAGGTATCCATCCCCAAGTCCGCATTTTCTTTTTTATCGTATCAACGCTATCTTAGCCGCACACAGGACAAATCTGGGACAGCACACATCAGACGAAAAAGGGCGAAGGAGAGGCCGGCGCCATGGGCACGGTCCAAGAGATTGTCGAGCCGCAGTGCCAGGCGCTCAATCTCTCGGATTCCCAGCGGTGCACGTCACAGGCTACTGCCTACGACAACCTGTTTTGCAGATTCCACGCCAGGCAATGTTTTGGCCTCTATATGGGCTACAAGCGCCGCAATGCCGAGCTGGACGCCCTGGCCGCCCAGGAGCCCGAGTTTCTGCGCGCATCCAAGATACCGCGAGCCAGCCATACCTTTGAAGGCATCACGTCCGAAGACCACATCCGTGACGTGCACGAGTACCTGTTCAAGCAGTATGTGTTGCTGGGAAAGGTCATCTCGGCCCGCAAGCTGCACCACAAGCACTTCTTCTCCCTCGAGATGGACTATGGCCACAAGGCCTACCTGGACAAGCTCGTCAGCACCCGCCACTCGGTCCTCAATGCCCTGGAGAACCTCGAGAGGCGGACCACCCAGCTTCTCTACGAGGAAGAGAAGTGGTTCACTTGGGTGCGCCAGGTGCAGGATGACGAGGACCAGAACCGTGAGAAGGAGCAAAAGAAGGTCAAGCTCGAGGCCGCCCTGTTCCGCCGCCACTGGCGCGAGATGGAGGCACGGCTTGCCGCTTCCCGGGAGAAGGAGGACAGGAAGCGCCAGGAAGCATATCTAGACGAGGTCTGGAAGGAGCGCATGGCGGCCGACTCTGACGCTGAGGGCTGGGATCCCATCGAGGACATGCTCGAAGAGGACAGGCAGCGCTACCTCGATCTCATCCGCCATTTTCTGTGGATGGATCCTCCGGCGCGTGAGGGGGTCGCGGTCCAGGAGCCGGATGGGCAGCCTGAGAAGGCTCCTGAGCCTGCTCAGGAAACTGGGGCAGCTCATGGCGACGGAGAGCAACCACCGTCGGGGTCCGCCAAGAAAACGAAAAAACGAGGCGGAAAGAAGAAGAACAAGGCTGGGCAGTCCAGTGTAGTTGCATCGCAAATCGCATCAGGGACGCCTATCGTTGACAAGCTGGCCGCCAGCACAGCAGCCAAGCTCAAGAGCGAAAACCGAAAGATGAAACAAGAGCTCGAGTTGAACAAGGCCAGGATTGAGAGCAAGGAGGAGATCTACAAGAGGCTCAGGGAGGGCGTAAAGAAAGACTACAGCCACGTCGACGGGCCCATGATCGTGGGGACGGCCAACAATCCGCATGAACTGATTGATCGGACGGCTCCGGTCAAGGACGAAGACATCTCGAAGCTCATTGCAGACATTACCGAGATCAAGATGTTTCTCTTCTGTCGGCAGGTCATGTCACACCCGGCCCTCCTGCCAGCAGCGCTACGCGCCAACAGTGTCGAAGAGTTTCTGTCGGACCCCTCCATCGCCGACTCGGATCTCCGCGACCTCTGCCTCCAAGTCGAGCAGCCGACCTACGAGGCGCTCCGTGATGCCTGCGCAGACTTTGTGCGCGGAGACGAGCCTGACGACGACGACAGGAACCATCACGAGGATAAAGTCGACCTTCGGCCAGCCGCCGAGTATATCCGCGACCAGATCCGGTACGATGACTTGGGACACGACTTTCCCATTCGGGCGCTGAGCGCTCTGTATCGCGAGTCTAACCCCAGCCAGAAGCAGCTCCTGGACGCAGTTTCCAGTGAGAGCGAAGCCAAGGAGAATGAGAGGAAAATGAAAGTACGCATCTGTGGGCGCACCATCTGGAACTACGCTAGCCAGAGGAGCATGGCCCGCTCCGGATGGCTGCATTTCTCCATCATGGCCAAGGACTGTGAATTTCAGGATGCCATCGGCCTCTGCCGCAACTGGGACGAGTTCTTCGAACTGCACATCTTGACGCTGTGGCAGTACTTCCCCGCCTCCAAGTGGACAGGATGGAGCGGAAATTACCTCACCGAAGAGTTGACCCAACTGGTAAGTTCGCTTCTTCTTCCCTCAATCTCCCATGGTGGCGCACAAAGTCAAGGCAGTGCACGTGACAACAGCTGACCGCGATGTCGGACCAACACCCAGGGGTTCGTGCCCTTCTATATGGACACCTCCGCCCGAGAGCATACGACGTACAACCACCTCGGCAGCCTGTCTCGCAAGATGCTGCGGCGGCAGCATATCATCACCGAGTCGCGGAACTACGTATGTGCACACATGAAGCGCAACGACCCCGTCACCCGGCGATTTATCCAATATGCCGTAATGCGTCCTGGAGAGCACTTTATCCTGGTTCGCGATGGCATCGACGGCCGCATCGTCGTGGCTCCGGACAAGAAGCACCGCTGGCTGGTGCGCTCGAGACGGGGCGTCACGGCCACGGGCCGCAACCAGCACGACGACAACTGGTACATTGAGCTCGCTGTCGATCCTGGCTTCTTTGCTGTGACCGAAATGGCGCGTGACTGGCACTTTGGCTTCGACAGTTACTACGAGATTTACATGTGGGACCATGTGCCTGGGCAAAGTCCCATGGATTTGTACCACCGTATCAATGAGGTTGGTGCCGTCATTCTAACACAGCTGCCCTGCTGACGATTCCGAATGAACTCTTGTCACTGACGGTGTACCCATCTAGATGTTGAGTAAAGCCCGCCGTATCAGGGGCCACCGGGACAAATATGCCCACATGAAGCACATCATGGAGACTCTCACCCGCGAACAGGACACCAAACGAGTCCGTCAGATCAAGCCCGGCGAAAACGCCAAGAGCTTGTACGACGAATACCCTGGACGAGATGCCGAGTTCTGGATCAAGACGACCAAGTCCGGGCCGATGATCAGGACGAATGAGGACATTGCACCCGGCGTCAGCCCCTACCTCTACTACAACGACACGGATGCTGCCGAAGACGCCGTGCTATTCGAGGAAGAACTGCAAGAAGGCTTCCCCGAGAACATGCCGTTTAGAGAAATCAACAACCCTCTCCGGCAGCTCGAGGAGTCGCGTCTGCCTCTGAACGTGATGAACAGGACCATCAAACACCTGGAAGACTCGATGCCCCCGGAACTGGCTAAGGCTTTTGGCGTCAACCGGAGGCTCGACGGCGCCGGCGAGGAGTCCACCGGTTCATCTCGCTCTCTGTCCGAATTTCAGCCATACGTCCCGGGGTGTGGCCAGTTCCCGTACAGTGTGCCTCCCATCTGGGAGCAGGCCTACAAGGGAATTGCCAGTGCTGCCAGAGATGCCGAACGTGCCCGTCTGCTGAAGAGGTTGAGTTTCTCGTCTGCCCGACTCAAGCTGTCCGACGACGAGATCAACGGAATGTCTGGCACGCAGGAGATTATGGAAAGGGACAGATCCTACGGTGAGCCCATACTTCAATTCGAGCTGCTTGCCTCCTCAACCAATCAAGACGCGGTGCTAACCCGAAACTGCCCAGTATATAAGGATTCCTTCCACCTCGGAGACCTCGAGCCTGGCGCCCAGGATCGGTACAAGGAGGCCATGGACCTCATTATTGGCGTGCAAAAATACCAGTCTCCTCGACCAGATGCCCATCTCGATTGGGCCTGGTTTTGCATGGAACTCGTTGACTGGGTAAGCCTCGAGCTGTACTACGATGAGTACGACCCAGAGCCCCTGAGCCCCTGGCCGCACAGGTACATCGTGCAGGATATTGTGCAGGCCTTTACGACCATGGGTTTGTTCTTCCCTGGTGTCCGCGAGACGTCCATCATCCAAGAGTTCCTCGAGTCTGAGCAAGGAAAGGGCTTCAAATTTAGCAAGATTTTTGATGCGGCTTACCGATGCTCGAAGCGGCCGGATGTGCGGACACGCACAAGCTGTTCTTATCGGCCCAAAGCGTTCTGGAAGGACTGGGAGAATTTGTACGGGGGTGAGAAGCACTGGCAGGACGAGTACCCGTTCGACTGGGCCATGACGGTCAAACCCATCATTGCAAAGCGTAAGCGCCACCTCCCTTTTCTTCTCGGGCACCCGCTCGTGGCTTTAAACCACTGAGAGCACCAAGACACCAAGCTAACATGTCGAACGACGCAGTGTATAAAGCGGGCATGATAGCGCCCGCAGTTCTCCAGGCCACCCGCTCTCTCGTTCCTGGCTTCGCAACCGCCAGCATCGAACCCCACCGCCCGGGCCAGCTCGACCTCTTCATCAAGTTCTACAACCTGGACGAGTACTGGCAGAATGTGCCCCCAACCTTTATCGACTACAAGGACTGGCCGGAACTGCTGCCCGCGGCGCGCCACTTCGCCAGCAAGTGCAAAGCGAACGGTAAATTGGCCAGGTTCACGCTCCTCCGCCTGTGGTCGGCGCCGCACTTTTACCCGCTCATGATGACGCTCTCGCGGCGGCCGTCGGCCTCGTTCGTCGACCCGACGGGCCGAGTCTGGGAGTGGAAGTTCATCCCCAAGGACATGGCGCTGAGCGAGTGGAGCATCCACAACGCCGTCTTGCTGCGACTGGGCTACCTGCGCGAGCAGATGATGGGCCTCGGGCTCGGGTTCCAGGTCCCGCCCGCCGAAAAGAAGTTGGCCGAGGTCAAGTTCAGCGGGCAGGACAAGTGGCAGCGCGGGCGGTGCGAGATGGACGAGCGGGTCGTGCAGCGCGGGGATTTGGTTCTGGTTATGGGCGAGGATGAGAGGGATTTACTGCGGTGGAGTACCGTGGTGACGTTTGCGCTGCAGACGAAGCCTTGGAGCAAGGAGGTGGATTTGTGGAAGAGCTTTGTCAATGTGGATCTGGACTTTTTGGAGGGATTGGATGAGTTTTGGTTGGATTAACGGTCCCCTGGGGGTCTATGTTTGAGAATTCCTGGGGGATGATAACGTCAGGCATTCAGTGAGTTGGATATGGGAGTCGATACTAATAATAGGTCGTTTACAATTCAACCCTGGTTTATTTGTTAGCGTGGCACATGGCAGGTCAAGTTAGAAAATGGAGAAAGGGGCTAACTATAAGGAAGAAGCGGAAAAGGTAGAAACATAAGAAGATGAAAAGAGATAACCAGTTATAGCTTGGAAAGACAAAAGATAAAAGAACTACGTTAAGTTAACGTTGAGCAAGTATAAAAAGGAAAAAATAGAAGGAGAGAAGAGAAGAGAAGTACATAGTTATCTAATAAAGTTTCTTATTTCCTTTCTAACCCACTCTAGCCGCCGGCCAAGGTGGGAATAGCACCGCAGGGAGCATTGTCCACGCGGCCTGCGAAACAAGATATACCGGAGACTGAGCTCGAGAAAGGGCGGGGGGGGTCGATTGCGGGCCTTCGGCCCGCGGAAGCCCACAGCAGTGGAAAAAGCCGCCATCACAATTGTAGTTTGGACGGGGGGACAGCCGACACGGACAGGGTAGTTCAGGAGGTTTGGGAGGAGAGGTGGCTCAAGGAACGAGGCTGTTGGGCAGCCACGAGGCTAGCCTACGACTTCAACCACCAGCAGGAAACCCTCTTCAAGGCAAGACTCCAAAGAGGCACGAGGGCCTAAGGAAAGTGAAAAGTTCACTGCTAGTCTAATTGTAACGGGCTTGGCCCGTAAAGGCCTCGGCAAACTCTCGGCCAAGACTCGAGATTCGGTGGACTTCTATCTTGTTCGATATCGGCGCACAGGCCAAGGATGTGGAAGTATAAGACGGCAGGTATCTTGCATAGTGTTTCACTCTTTTTCTTCTTCTCTCTCCATTCGAGACAAACTCGTAGAGTCGTCACCAGCTAGTTGCAATATACTCCTGGGACCGTTACACTAGATCCGAGCTGGGGCCATAAGCCTTCGGGACTACCTCTTCAAACCGGGGCGTCCCGTGTAACGGTCTCAGGCAGTATATTGCAACTAGCTGATGACGACTCTACGAGTACACTGAACTTGGAGAAGAAAAGGAGAGACGACAGACTCTGGTAGCTCGCAAGCATACTTATCCTCGTCGGCGCGCTGGTCTGAGCGCGTTGCTAGAAGGTTCGGTGGGCTGTGGGGCGAGTAGGAATAGCCTCATCAGGGGTCTTGGTATTGGCCGAGAGTCGCCGAGGCTCGCACCGGGCCCAGCCCGTTACATCCCGGAGCTCTTGACGCCGAGTTGGGAATGTGGGGAAGGGTGACAGACTGTCGAGCGCCTGGTGCTGTGGTGCCTGAGGCCACTGTTGGTTCGGAAGTGGGATAGAGCCAAGGTTCGAAGGCGAAGAAACTTTTACTCTCTTCTACAGGGAATTCCACAGCTGTCACGGGTCGTGACAGTGTGAGGTTCATGTGCGCAACTCCTGGTTCGACTGGACAGTTCGAACCACGGTCCCTCTTTTGAGGGTGTTACGCAGTGGTCAGTTGCGCCCACCCGTGACAACAGCTGCACCGCTAACGGAGAGGATCCTAGGCTGGCTGATGGACTCGGGTAGGCTACCGATGTACAACCTGGCTGGGAGGCTGGAGCCGGAGCTGATGGTCTGATGTCCCCTCCTTCGAAGGCCAGGAGGCCTTCTCTCTTTGTATTTGTGGGCTCACTCACTGATCGTGTTCTTGGTTGACGATATGGGGTTTTCATCCGACCCGCAAGGGCGCGGTTTCTTTTATAGTACTAGTTGAAGGTCCGGCACACCTTAGGGCATAGCGATGTAAGAATAATACTATTTCCTTTTAAAACTTGCACTAATAAACTAGGGTTCAAGTGTACCTAAGGTAGTCTAAAACTTTGGAGGTGGTGGTGTTAGTGGATGTCCACTGTGGACATGAGATGTGCCTGTTCGAAATCAGATGAAAACAAGACTAGAATCTTCGAGGCCCCTCGGTACGCTTTATGGCGCCATAAGTCGAGCGAGAACAAACACAGAACTAGCACGAGAGAAAAAGATGGAACGAAACTCAAAAAGCTTCGCCGAGCCGAGAACCTGGCATATCCCGCGAGAGTCGTGGGCCTCATATTTGGGAGGTTGATACAAGACGGCTTATTAGTACGAGGCTGACCCAAATCATGCACATACCTGTAGCTCACTCTCCCCTGACAGAGTTCTTGGCTGAGCCGTTCGTCTGACAAGGTTAAGGTGAGTAGGTAGGGAATGTGATTCGTATGAGCGCTAGGCACGGCACGACAGGCATTCGGAGCCTTACAGAAGACAGCAAGCATCTTGTTAATTCCGTTATATTGTTAGTCTGCGGAAACTATTCACAAAGATACCGGAGGGTCAGTAGGTCTTGTCGTTGCGGTTCATTCTCTAAGGCCGCGTTCAAGTTCAATATTAACAATCTAAAGGAGAGGGAAGACCCCAGATAATATCTCCCTCCGTCACAAGGTCGTACCAAGTGTCAACGGTAGGGTGCAGTGTCGCATACACACCAACGAGATCATCGATCTTAACCCGCTTTCTCAAGTTCCGTAACTCGTCCTCCTCCAGTACCTCCTCATCCTCCTCACCCTCGATGCAGCGAGCCTTCTCTCGCTCCTGTTCCATCAACATGATCTGATCTGCATATACAATCTTGCAAACGTACCCATCCCTCCTACTCGCCTTCTCATCGTCCACCACACTTTCCAAACTCTCCTCCTCGACGTGCGAAAATGTGTATATCTCAGATGATTGTTCAACGAAGGCGTAAGCACGCTGCCATACATCTCCTCCCTACCCGGGCCCCGGTGAACCCACTCCACAAACCGGCGGGTAGTCTCTATGATGTGAGCGCCTTCCAGCGCGGCGGCGTCCTCGATAATCGTCCAGCGCATACGGTCGTAGACGCTCTCCATTCTGCACTTCTCAAAGTATTCGCAGACGTGTCCCTTCGCGAGGGTGACAAACTTGTCCCATTTCTCCTGGAAGCGGTAGGTACAGCGGAAGATGACGAAGCCCCATTGAGAGAGGCCGGCCTCTTGGAGGCAGTCTTGGATTACAATGGCGTCTTGATACCAGCCAGGCGAGCGCTTCGTTTGATCCATATGTGCTACAACTTGACTGTAGGTTGAGAATGGGCGCGAATGTGGCTGAGATTTCGTAGAGAATGGAATGAATTGAAGATGAACGAGCTGCGGTGGGAAAGACGCGCGAGGGAAATAGATATTTATGAAAGTACGAGTAAGGTAGGCACGAGCCGGGCGCAGAGCTGGCCCCAGGGACTTCAGAAACAAGTGGATGTTCTCGGGTGCGACTGCTGTCTAATGTCGAGCCAGGCTGCTGGTTCAGAAGGGTGAATTCAGGTCTGGCGATTCAATGAGTGGAAACGGGTCATGGGAGCGTTTGGAAGTCGGAGAATCGCGAGCACAAGTGTCGAGGAGATTGATTGATGTACGGATACGAATGTGGCTCCTGGGCTTGCATTCCGCGGCGCGGCGGCAGACAAGGATCAGGATACACGTACTCATAATCCGTACATGCCACAGTGGGTGGTCAAAAGTATCCGAGCACCCCACTTCAATCAAACGCGAAGTCAGCGCGTCGCGACTACCACCTTTTCTTCAACTTTCCACACCTCGGCCGAATGAAGCTCAATTTAGACGATTTCGCCGGCCAATTGACGGCAAATCGCAGCCGGAATCAGGAGTTATCGCCTGGTATTTGGGCTGCAATATGCACGCTCGTGGCAGTAGGCAAAAGCGAGCGGTTCGTCGCAGGCTTGTTTCGCGTCTCCCTATCCACGGTACACTACGTCACTGAACACTGGAGAAAACACCATACCTTCGAACCCAAGCCTCGTAAGGCCGGCCCCTGTCGCTTATACGAAAGGAGAAGCGGTATATAATCTTGCTCGTTAAACGGAATCGAACTCTCGCTAAAAGGGCGCTTATGATTATGAGCGCTATAGGAAAGGTCGTCTCCTATTCTACGATCAAGAGATACCTCTACGCCAACAACGTACGTAAATAGATGGCAATAAAGCGGATACCCCTTTGCATGGAGGTAGCAAAAAATAGGTATGATTTTGCATACGATTGGCTTAAGAATATCGAGGAGTTCCTATAGGTTTATTATACTAAAGTTGTCCTTGATATCTTACCCGCTAATCAGTGCCTCACTGGACAAGTTGAGCTTTTACGGTCAGTGCGGGGAGATGGTGGGACGCCTACCTGCCTCAGGGGAAGCAAGGCTCTTTGTTGTCAAGCAGTCGACTATTATCTGGTTACGCGGGGCTGTAGGTGGGACACCAATTGCGATGGGGAAACAGAGACGTCAGTGTTGAGCAAGAAGCTCGGTTGCTTGGTGGGGAGTTTCAAAGCTCTGCCAGATTACGGTGGTTGAGAAATTCACAGCCAAGCTCGAAGCACTCGTACCGCAAAAACTCGATACGAATACCCAATAGTTAGATGTAAGTTTTGTTGCTGGATTGTCCCTCCCAAATTCCATCCTCCAACCGGCTACTCACTTACCGAGCCGAAGTGAATGTTATTTTCCTTACACACTGGTTCGAAGTTAGGAGAGTCCAGCGACTTGACCAACCCCACTTACTTTGTCTTCTATATAGTTAAGTTAGTTTCAAGTCCTTATACGATGGGCTGAGACTTACGTAACTGGCGTCCTGCCTGGTGGCAGACGGTCCATTTCCCAAAAGATGTCAGGCAGCTACTTCAACGAGATTTCACCAAAAACTATATGCTTCCTCCGAACCTTCAGCGAGGTTCGGTAACATCTCCTGACGTCAGGAATCCTATATCCCGAATGTTCGAGCCCTTCGGTTCAAAGTCAGATCTAGGTTCGATAATGCTTGCCGACCACCGGATGAATTTCATCAAGGGCATGTTAATCGGCTTGAACGATCCCATGAAAGTCAAGACCTTTGAAGATTACATAAAGCGTGGGTTGCTCTATGGGGAAAAAGATCTCACGATGTATGTGCTGGATTCTATCAAAACGGTCAGTTCTTCCGCCCTCCACCACCACTGTGCATGTTTTCGCCTCCGAGAGTTCGCCTGTCAGTTTTGCTAACCTAGTCCCTGGGTTTACTCTGCAGACCATCTCTGCTTTCAGATATCTCAGCCACCCTGAGGTGCGACGTGTTTTTGTGGACACCGCTACCAACATCCCAGCTCAAGCCGCTGTTATTGGGAAGCACACCATAGCCGCACCAAACCTCGACTATCGATGGGACGAATTCATGGCGGCTCTAACGAGGGCCGTGCCATATTATGGGCGAGATTGGGTTCTTGAGCGTATCTTGCATGTCTTCCAAGAGTATGGTTTGAAAGGAGGCAACGAGGACAAGTTTCGTCTGCTTGGGCAGTATCTTCTTGAACTTCCCAACATCAATATGCCATACCTGTGGTGGGACCCGGATAAGGTCAAAGCGAACCCGATAGTATGAGGTTTCAACGGATTGCGGTTTTTATTTTTCTGCGAAGTTACCTGTCTTTTGTAATCTTATATGGTCTCCCTAAGTACCCATACAATGATTGGAGTATCTTCAAACTCAACTTGCCATGTTTTTCTAGTGATCCCTTCGTTCACTTCCGTGCCGGGGCGACCCGATGCCATCTAACTCCGGGGAGGGCTTTTTGTGCAGTGCCGGGCCAGAACCGGAACCGGACCCGCCCAAGGAAACTGGTGCACATCACTATGGCGTGATCGAAGCACACGCACACCACGGGCACAACACTGTTGTCGCCGTCACGCAGCGACGACGCAAAGCATCACTATCCGCCACAGCGATGCATCAATTCCCCCGCGTCGGCTCAACCACCAACGCCCCCAAAGGATGTTGGAGCGTGAGCGCGTCCGTCTGCGCCATCGGTCCAGCCTCGATGGTGACTTGGTGGTGTCCGGTCAGCCTGAAAGCCAGCTTCTTATTGCGCGTTGTGATGATAATCGATCCGTTTCGGCTCTGTGGTAGGTACGTCGCGAATGGCCGGGTCAATGCAAACAAGCACCTGAGGCTGTGGCGTGTTCCAGCTGCCCCGCACGGACCAATCAACACCAGGCGCTGTGTAACAGCCTTGACCAGGGGTCCTGAACAAGGGGTCCCGAGCCACCCGCTTCGACGACCCACCGTCTCAAGTCTGAGGTTTCGGCGGCCAGCCAGTGTCGGCCGCTGAGCCGAAGTCGCCAATCTGTCACAAGCTTTTTTCGAGACGGCCAATGGCGACGGTACGTTGTCTGTGCGATCGCCACGGACACTCGAGACCAGGAGGTGTAGCCCCGGATTCCCATCTTTCCCATGCCGGGCATGCTCAGATTCCCATCTCCAGTCCCATGTCTGACCTTGGCCATGGCGTTTGGGGTGCAGTCTCGTTCAAGAGTGATGTGATCCCACCCGTTTCCACTCATGTGTGGTTCCTTTCTGTTTGCCGTCTCCTATCGTTCTCTCTCTTGTGTCCACCTTGGCCGTCCACTCCTTCCATTCTCACGCCTTCGCGCCCACTGTCCCGGGACCGCTCGCTGCTGGCTGGGCCAAGAGAGTGCTGGTCGCTGGGTGCAATCTGACATTCCTTTCTTCTCAATACGCTCTCTAATTCTATACTTCGTTTCTTGTCGCTGGTCAAACCCTCTTCTGTTTGGCCGTCGCGAGAAACTTGACCGAGTCACTTCGTCACGCAATACAATCTCTCACCTCGGAGTCAACACACACTTGACTACAAGTGGGCTGCGTCTTCAAATCGGTCCCGCCACCAAAATGGGCCAGAACCTCTCACTCTCGGAAAAATTTGCCTCCACCTCCAAAGCCACCCTCGCTCCCTGGGACCGCGAGGCCGATATCATCCTCGGCGTCATCTGGGCGTGCTGCCTCTACGGCATCGGCGCAATATGGTGCACTGTCGGCCTGCTGCGCCGATGGTCCGGACACCACGAAGAAAGAGAGATCAATATAATCTCGCTACTCGCCGCCTTCCTTTTGTCTTCTGGCTGGCCGGTCATATTGGTGTATTTCGCCATGTCGAATCGGGCCTGATTGGGGTATCGGACTTGGTCTTGCGATCATGGGGAAGGATCACGGTGGTGAAGACTTAATTGTAGGATTAGGGGATGGAATTGGGCTGTCGGATGAAACCAAGAGGAATAGGAGAGATTGGGCTTTACGGCTACGATGCAGCGATGATTAGGGGTCGGCTTGGACGGCAGGTCGGAGACTCAGGCAACTGGAACTGACTTACGCCGAACATACGACAGGAGCTGGGGAGGGCAAGGGTGAGCAGGGTTGCAGTACATGAGGAAATAAGAGAGGAGTTCTTCGAGCCATTGAACACGTAGTACACCGGTTACCTTGCTGAGACATGTTTGTATGTACGTGGGATCAGCTGAATCGTAGTGGTAACCTGAAATTCATGTAGATACCCTCGGCGATAGTGTGATTCACCAACTGCCCGTATCCAGTTTACCGCAACTCCAGCCAAATCAAGACAATAACAGCCAGGTCTACCCCCACATTACCTAAGTCTCCACTTCCACCCGCGAGGTTATCTCTGGCTAGGATCATCAACCCAAGACAAGATACACAAGTAAGAACACCGTGAAACACGGTCAGATAGTCCCGCTCCCGTGAATCCTGCAGCTCACCTACCTCTTGAGCCCTTGGACGGTCGGGATTCGCAAGTAGCCACGCTCGTACTCCAGCTCGGTCCGCCGACTTAAACTCATCCCATTCCCACTGATCCGCCGTGCTCAAGTGCAGCACTTCCCAGCCGGCCTCCCGGCACATGCCCACGAGGTCGGTAAGCATGGGTAACCCATGCCCAAACAGATTCAGGGCGGTCCGGGAAGGCCGCTCCCAGCACATTTCGCCTATCAGGACCCTGCCTCGTGGGACAATCGCGGCAAGTTCCTCCAGCATGGCTCTGCTCCCATTGAGCGCGTACGATGCGTTGATGCATATGCACGGTCTCATTCTCCTAGCCAATCCCTTGAGGGCTGCTCGATGAAGCCGACGTCACGCCCCCGGCTGTCGGCGGCTTGTTGTCCCCGGCGCAAGTGAGAGAGGCTGATGTCGACCCCTGTGACCGGATTTTCCATCGTGGTCTGCAAGGCACCGCGCAGCAGCAGTCTCCCCCAGCCACACCGAGGTCGGCGATGCTGGTACTGGGGCCGAGTTGCAGGAGATCTGGTAGCTTGTCGGCGTGGTCGTCGGAAAGGGGTGTGTTCCACGTCAACTTGGCGTGTCCCGCTGTCGCGCCTCCGCGAGACCGTCTTGTCCCATACAGTATCACGAATTTAGTCTTCAATGTTAAACATGATGAGACTGGAGATGAGATATCTTAATCACGCGTTCCCCTGGAAAGATGAGCACGGCGCTTCTTGCAGAGGTGAAGAGTAAGGTAGCACGAAGAAAAGGGGACAAGTCGTGCCAGTGTTTCCATCCACGATCAGCCAGCATGTATAGGGCCCAAAGATATGAGTCACTCCAAGCGTATTAAGGTAGTTACATAACCAAAGCAAACAGAATGTCCATGTCGGCGGTGACGTGACCCCACTAGCCTCCTCGCCGAATTCAACCAAGAGCTCGATGAAGGGTTCTTTTCGCGTCATCCGGTCCATTGTCCGACGATGGATGACAGATAGGGACTGCCGCCGGAGTATCGTTTGTACGTTATTTTGGCCTTCTTTTCCTTCTCCAGGTAGAGACAATTTACTGAACTGCTACTTACCTAGACAATGTTGACCTTGGTTCAAGGCCAGGCTTGTTCAAATTGTCGGGGGGTGGGCGCCATATTCGCGGAATTGATAAACGTAAGTCATGTCGATTTACTACACTGGCCGATGACGATCCGTTTTTCACCTCCAAGTTTCAGAGCATATTAGGACCGCTATTTGACGGAGAGATTTGTTGGAGGTCATCAAGCCGGGAGTGGTGTGGGGGTTGCCGCAGCATTCCAAGCAAGATTGGAGGCGATTGGGATGTGGTTGAGGATTACTAACATAGTCCGCATGAGTGTCATAAATGGGTGATCGAATCCACATTTTGTAGGGTGTTTGTCTCTTGAAAGCAAATAGATATGGGGTTGCAAGATCGCCGATCCGTTTACTTTCACCCAACCTACCTTCTCATTCCAGACGCCAAAGTCTGATCTGCCTCGGTCCGAGGTCAGAGGGTGAAATGCGAAGTCCGTAATCGGTATATGGGTTTTTCACCCGGCCCACGAGGGCGCGGTTTTGCTGTATAGTAAGTTGTTGAAGGTCCGGCACGCCTTGGGGCACAGCGGTGTAGGAATAATAATAATAATACATGGTCTATTGACGTCGGAAGTGCCATGAGAATAATATTAAGAAAGTAAGTGAAAAAGAAATGAAAATACGGCGTGAAAAAGAGTAGAAATTAAAGAGAAAGTAAAGAAGAGAAAGATGAAAAGTGAATAACGTTAACTACCTAACGAATAAGGTAGTTTTTTCTTGGTTTTTTCCTTTTCTAATTTCCGCGCTAACAAACACATCAGGGTTGAATTGTAGGGTCAAGTTGATCCCTAGACGAGTCTATGAACCGTCCACTCCTTTACTGACACATAGTTCCATGACAAGCCGCTAGCCGACATTAGCAAGCATTCAATTCCAATATAATCATTTCCCAAGGCTCACCTCGCCGCCCTCATGGCAGGCTCAATGGCCAATGCACGGCTGCAATCGTCAGCACACGTCAAACTAACAATTCAGGCGCCCCTGACAGTGACCTGTGTGTCCCAACAATGAACTAGTACCAGGTTGGCATAGGGGTGAGTTACAATTTGATACAACCACAGTGATGAGCGTAAACATGTCGAATCAAGAAGGCTACCTTACATAACGAGCCGGTCCATTGGTTCCTACTAGTCATTTACAGCCCAGTGGTTATAGTGCTAATTAAACCCTAAAACCATGTTAGAGGGTGCAAGAATCGCGACGTTCGCTGAGATTACCGGTGTCTTGAGAACTGAGATTGACTCAATCAACGGATATAGTACGTTTGACAGCTATAAAGTAAGTTGCCACCGCGTTATGAATGTAGATTGCACTATATTGAAATGTTCGCTTACCATGCCTCACAGGTAGTCCAGGCCCAACTTTCGGCACCCCGGGTCCGGTTGGATCCAGAGTTTCAGAGTGATTACTCGGAAATGCTACCAGAAGATTACCCGGCAATAACTGGAAAATTTCCTCTCAATCATGAGCCTTCGGACCTTGCTTTCCTCTTGATCTATTTATATCTTCCCAGTGGTATAATTCCAGTTTGAGGTCTCGTCCCTGTCAACTCCTCGTCTCTCCATCGCAACACCACGCGAAGTCACCACTGCAGCCCTTCAGAAGGCCTTACCTCGATCAAAATGCGCATCACCAGCCTTCTTTCCGTCACCTCCGCTGGGCTGGGTACGGCACTGGCCACGCCTCGAAATCTCCGAGTCCGCGACGTCTCAGTGCTAGGGACTGGATGCCCATACGGCTCCGCAGACGTCAAGGTCGACCCGAGTAACACCGCCCTCGACATCAGGCTCTCGGAATATGTCGTGAGATCTGGCCCAAACACCATGGCGGCGGACTGGCGCAAGAATTGCAAACTCACGCTGAACCTCGAATATGATGCGGGCTTTCAGTGAGTTACACTAGATCTCCCCCAATTATCGCGGAACAGCTCCCAGGCTGACCACGTTCTCTTTTCTCAGATTCTCGACGCTGAGTACCTCGGTAAAAGGCTTCGCATACATCCCATCGGGTGCTCAGGGTCAGTGCCAGAATACGGTCGATTTCACTGGCTCCTCCAGCCAGGCCAACTACGGCATCACACTGAAAGGGAGCTACGACGGGCCCTTTTCGCTGTCGGCCAACCCGGATATTGTGACGTGGTCCCCGTGCGGCGGGTCAACAGCCATCCTGAACGTGAACACGCAATGCTGGATCTCGCCGACGGAGAAGAAGGCAATCATTGATGTAAGTGGAGAGGCCACCCCAGACTGCGAAGTCTTGCGCTAATAGAAAGCCAGGTCGATCGCATTAGCAGCAAACTCACGGTCCGTGTTGATCTTCAATGGAGGAACTGCTGAAGCAGACACGACCTCGTTCTGGGGCGTGTCAGGCATCATTATAGGAAACGTCCATGTCCCGGAGCCAGTCAACAGGCACAAAAAACTGTCTCAACAGAAGTCTTCGCTTTTCCAATCGCTAGCATTGTACTGGACTTCAACTGTAGTCCCCACAGGTAGCATTAGACTCTCCCGCCATTCAACTCACTTTGATCAAGGTTACACATACACTATCATGTAACAGTGCCACAACCCGCTCCCTTCAAGACTCTCATCCTTACAGTAAGATGAATGCTTGCCCTTTCTGTTTCATCATCAGTCCGTCTGCTGCTTGGGGTGCTTGCCCCAGTAGCAGAACGCAAGACAGGCGCACCATTGCTCGCATGCAGCTGCCCTGAATATCATCAGAGTTGCACTTGATGCCCCGAATCTTGGCGGAGACATGACGTCAACCGAAGACCTCGGCCACACCGCGCTCAATTCAAACCATTTAAAGCGCCGATTCTATTGGCCGATCGTGCTTCAAATGGCCATTCTGAGTGTTGATGTCATCATGATCGGGCTGCACTGGATCCCCACGGTCGAACAACCACCAGGCCACCTGCCTTTCCTCAACTTGAAATAGTTCAATTTACATCTCATTGCCAAATCGTCACTGCTTTGCCGTTCAATATCTCTGCAACAATTCTTCCTCAACCGCCCATAAATACCAGAGTTAAAGTCCAAGGTACCGCATCGAGTATTCCACCCTGATTCGACTATTACAAGACCTCGCCTTCAACCGCGAGAAGCAATCCCAAACGAGAATCCAAGCCCGAATACACATCGCACAAAATGGCCAACATGTTCTCCTCCCGCAAGGGGCCCCTCCTGATAGCAGGCGGGCTTTTCAGCGGTCTTCTCTACTTCACCTACGGCGCGCGGCAGCAACCGCGGACGACGGCGACGCACGACGCGTCGTCGCAAGCGGGCGTCTCGCAGACGCTGCAGTCGGTGGCGGGCACGGGCGGCGAGCGCGCGCACGCCTCGCGCGACCGGGAGGAGCAGCGCCTCTACGATCCCAAGGACACGGGCCTCGCCAGCAGCGACCCCTCGGCCGCCAGCAAGCGGAGTCCCCAGAAGGTGAGGGGCGACCTGGGCGGTGACCAGAATAACCCGGCCGGCGGCGGGCAGGGGAAGCATATTGGGGACAGGGGCCCCGACAGCGGGGATTTGCCGTACAAGAGGATGGGGTCGCAGGCAAGGTCTGTGGAGGAAGGGCGGGATAAGATGTGAATATCGCGTGGGAGGGGCTTGTTGTACGGTGTTGGTAGAAGTGGCATCGTGTTGTTGTAGGGCATGAGTCAAGTGGTACTATTGCTTGAGGGCGCAAACAATCATCGCATTGTTAATCTATCAATTTCTCTACCCAGAAATACAATCGTCATCTGCATGTGCTTAATGACGGACTCTATACACTCTCGCGGTCCGTCATCTCGACATGCCCGACTTCCTTCTCTGTCTTCACCTCGCCGCCCGCGTAGGTGCTGTGCGGCACCCACTTGGCGCTGGTCCTCGGATTCGTCTCCGACAGCATCTGGTCGACCTGCTCGAGCGTCAAGCCCTTGGTCTCCGGGATCAGCAGGTAGGCATAGACGAAGCAGCAGGCACACAGACTGCCCCAGATGTAAAACACCTTGGCGCCGAGGTTTCCCTTGTCGGGATCCACCATATAGGGAGTGATGACGGCGATGATGCAGTTCCCTGGACACTTGTTAGTTGGACAGCAATCATCGCAAAGGTAGCTTTGCAACTTACACAGCCAATTGGACGCCGTCGACAGCGCAACACCCTTCGCGCGCATCGGCAGCGGAAAGATCTCGCCAATGACAACCCACGCGCCAGGTCCCCATGTCGTGGCAAAGAAGAAGATGTAGATGCAGATCAGGGCAATCATGGCCTTGACAGCATTGTCATTGTCCGGCAAGCAGGTCCCGATGATGGCCACGATGAACTCGCAGATACACATGCCCAGGGCACCCCATATCAGCAGTGGCCGCCGGCCCAGGCGTTCCATGGTGTAGAATGACACCGGGGTCGAGCAGACGTTGACGAGGGTTGTGATGAGAGAGATGAGGAAGGGGTTTTGGATGGTGCCCAGCTGCTGGAAGAAGGTCGTGCCAAAGTAGAAGACGAAGTTGATGCCGGTCCTGCTTAGGTCAGTTTCTTATATCGTGGGGACGGGAGTAACAGAGAATAACTCACCACTGCTGCATCATCTGCATTGAAGTTCCCAGAACAGTCCTCCGCAGGTAGCTCTTCGAGTCCCACAGCGAGCCTCTGAAGCAGTTGGCCCAGCTTTGGAAGTAGTTGCCGTGGGGAATGACACTCATCTCAAACTCGTGGTTGGCCACAATCTCCATCAACTCATCCTGGATGTAGGCAGACTCAACCGGTTGATCCCTGAGTCTGGCCAGCGTAGCCGCCGCCTTGTCCAGCTGGCCCTTCTTGACGAAGAACCTTGGCGACTCGGGCAGGAAGAACAGGCCTGTAGCCAGAATCATGGCCCACGCCATCTGCAGTCCAATGGGAATCCGGTACGAGCCGCTGTCGTTCCTCTCCTGGGTGCCATAATCCACCGACGAGGCCAGTAACAAGCCGACACAGATACAAAACTGATATCCGGACACGATCGCGCCCCTGACCTTCCTGGGCGCAATCTCGGACATGTACAGGATAATAATGGCCGAGACAAACCCGACCCCAAAGCCGGCGACCAACCGCCCGGCCACGATCAATCCCAACCCGGCGCTCGCCGTCTGCAGCACCACGCCCACAATAAACACGAGACAGCCCAGGATTACCGTTACCCTCCGTCCGATCCAGTCGGCCAGGTCGCCGGCAATGAGCGCGCCGAAGAAGGTGCCCGCCGATAGGATGGATGTAATGAGCGACTTCTTCCAGGCGGGGAGGGCGGTCGCGCCGGCGCCCTCGAAGACGTGGATGAAGTACTCCATGCCCATGACGCCCGAGATGTAGCCCGAGTCGTAGCCGAAGAAGATGCCGCCGAAGGCCGCGAAGACGCACATCAGGTAGGCCTTGAGGGTCACGGGCGCTTCGACGCGCGATGTCAAGTCTGTAGCCCCGGAGGGCGGGGGCGCAGCGCCGCCGGGCATAGTGTGGTTTGTCTCTTCGGAGTTTACGGTAGTGGGAGGTTGGTATTGTTGTTGTAGGGGTTAAAGGGAGACGGTTGATGGGTGGGGGGCGAGGATTTCAAAGGCCTGAGGAGGCTGGGAGTCTGTTGTCGTAAGGGAAGAAGGATTAGGGGCTGGAGAAGCAGCAAGCGCCCCAGCGTATAATCCCCCTGTGAAATTGTTTGGATGTTGATTGAACGTGATAACCATAGACAAAGAGGGCAGGATTGTCTCGTCATTTATATGTCTGGCCATGTGCTCTCCTATTCCCCAGCCCTGGTCTCCTGGGGCATATTCCTCGTCGACTTCCCCGGCCGGAGACGACATTGTGGGGAGTTTCCTGGCATCGCGTCTTCTGCATGCATGGACTCATCTCCACGCGGGGATGAGGCTCCGGTTGAATGTAGGTTCACGCTGGGGATGCCCCGGCCGTTCCGGGCCCTGGATGCAGCCCAGGCTCCTGCGTATCTCGCTGCAGAAACTTTCCAGGGCAGTGCCCACTTCTTCGGAGAGATGACGTTTGCTCGGTGTTTCCGTCTTGTGGCTCGGCTGAGTTGGACATTCAGGCCAAACTCTTCAAGCAGGGGGGCCGGATGAAGGGGATGACCCCGGATGTTGGTCGGCACGGCTGCCATTGTCTGAGGACAACTACGGAGGCCAGCGAAATGACGAGCTCTCAGACGCGTCGTAACTGTAACAATATAGTCAGTAGTATCCACACGGTCCTTCTTGATCACCTTAGTTCATGCAAAAGTCGAATAGGTTCAAGATTACCTGAGTCTTTTGACAATCGATTGTAGCTCAGGGGGTTTGGTACTCCGTAGTCTTTCTCTCCCTTGGACTGTTACGCCCAATGTAGTGTCCTACTTCGTGAGGCACAATAATTACATCCCTCTAGCTCGGCGGTTACGCCGAGATACAAGGCGGCAGATTAAGAATTGCCCAGCCGCAAGTGCCGGCAGTTGACGGATTTCCGAGTTACCCGGACGGCCGTCAATTCGGTGATTTTGTGGATGATGGGTGGAGCGTGGAAACTACCGCTTTCCGCCGCTACCTATCAAGGGATACGACATGACTCGGCTTGGCCGCAACTGTTGAGGTTCATCCTTGCCTAGTCCTTGTACTGTGGTGTCGTGTTTCTAGAACATTTCTAGCTTTGTCCAGCACGTTCCCGCGTTCCACACAGCATGTTTATCAGAGGACATGTTTGGCTTCATGCCTCTTGGTGGAGGTTTAGGCTGGGCAACAGAGAGATGAGACGAACACGACCATCATGTTAGGCATAACGTAATCCCCAACTGTTCTCTGATGGCTATGTTCTTGCTTCATCGGCACTACGCCCTGACTTTAATGTGAGCGGATCATGGTTCCTGAATCTTCTTCTTGCAGCCGCACCCAGGCCAGACCCATTGAAGTCGCATTGTAACTCATCGAATCCCTCACTCTTCATCTCGACTTATCTCGAGTTATTAAGGTAAGTAACCATCAAGGTAACACGACGGGAATGCATGCAATGAGGACTGACTAACACGCATGTTCTCTTGTGATGTAGTAGGACCCATGGTTGCACCCGTTGCCTCTCTGCGCAGAGACCAACTTCATTCAGTGGCACCTTCCATGATCTTAAGGGGGCTCCCAACCCAATTAATACGATACTTCTATTGCAAGAATAGTAGCAGATACGGAAGTCCCCGAGCCACTCTCCTAGTTACACGATCTTGATTACGTGCCATGGTCCTGCACGCCTTCGATATCTGACGGAGCGCCCCATCAAAAACTCGGGCTCTACCTCATAATCGTCCCAATCTCGCCCCACTTCACCAAACGCTTCCTCATCAGCTCCGTCCTCATCGCGAGGATCAAACATAAATATATGCAACCCGACAGCCTTATTTGCCATCCCGAAGTAATGGTTTCGAAGTAATAGTTCGGGGTTTTGAAGTAACTCACGCGCATGTAACTTCCGTCGTCCCTGCTCTCCACGTCGAGTCGGTTGACCGTACGAACACATCCCATCCAAATGGAGTGCTCCTCGTCAAAATCCAAACTCCATTAACCAATATGGACAACAACCACAACTGCAGCCTGTCAAGCTCCTCAAGCGCGATAATCGGCGATGAACTTTGTGGCGTTCCGGTTCTCCGAGTACCTCCTCACCGACCTCGTAGGCAGTCCCATCGATCTCGTAGATAATCTTCTCTGCTCCTGGGAAATGAGGACAACGGAATGTAACTTGTCCATCTTTCACTTGGGCCATATTATCTCCGTGTAATCGAATGATGTCTGCATTCAGCACTACCGCCAATGATCTTTCCTAGTAGTGGACTTCCAGCAGGAGTTCATGATTTGGAAACGTAACTACTCCTTCAATTGATGCCCAAGACCAGGTTGGAGCACAGTAAGGTGGTCGAGGTCTCGCGGCCCGGGACTTTTTTCTTTGCACGCTTCCAGCGAAAGAAGGTCGTGATGGCCGACCACCACAATCCAACGAGGTACCGATCGCCAGTGATCTGCTGGAATAGCTACGCGACGCCAGAGAGCGCTATGAGCATGCCATCTGAATAGGTCAGCTCGCAGCGCGAGTATCGAGTTACAAGGGACTTCCACAATCCAACTGGAACAACAGTTTCGGAGAGTTGCTGCTCTGCTGAATCCCTAGTAACTATGAGTTGAACCGATCCATGTTGACACCATACCTTACAGGTTTCCCTCGTTTGGTAAATGCGCCCTGCGGCCAGCTTTCGCATGAAAATAACGTTGGGCATTCATAGTACACTTAGGCTTTGCCGAACTGCAGTATCCGAGGGGCAAGCATCAGTTGTCGAATACCCAGCCGCGGGTTGTCAATGGGGCCTGGTCGAAGTCACCTCGCAGCCGGTAATGTTCCCAAAGAAGGTACTCTGTGGGTTCTTCATTATCTCATCGGGATCTGACGATTGCTGAAAGGGCGGGAAACGCGTCGCGCGTATGGAATATACTATCGTGAGGGCTAGAGGAACGGCCCGCGACGACGTTGAAAGCGACGCAACCGTAGACGTTCTGCATACTTAGCGCTTCCTTTAACCAGTCCTCTTTCATATTTGCCTTACACAGAGACTGTCGATCCTCAGGTAACGGATGCCGAGCTTGTGCGCGAGGAAGATGGCATCCTGCCATCGGGGGGTCCGATCTGCTGATGCCAGCTGTCGAGGCGCCGATCGTCAACGAGTTGAGCGCCATGAACTTGGCCTCGCCCCAACGATGGCTGAGATTAAGATATCCTTCCGAGATAGATTTTAGCTGTTCGGCAGCGGTTACTCTCAGCCGGCATGTTGTGTTATGGGATACCCCACATCGAGAAGCCGAGTTGGGAGGTAGAACTCATCAACACCCCAGAGACGCCAAGAGCATTGGGGAATGATTAAGACAATCTTGGTACCAGGCATTCATGCGCTGAATCGATTCGTCAGATCCAAGAGTCGGGCCGAGCGGCGTAGACGTTTCCCCAAGGTCGACGCCTAAAGGCTGACGACTAGATACTTGCGAAGGATATATTTGCCATTGCATAGACTCAAAGTACCCACCGGGACGAAGTGGTGAGATGTCGAAGATGATGCCCTATCTTTCGGTACCTTTGTCGTCTTCCGCGGTCCTGGTAATCCAGAGTTTGTCCGGCATTCCAGTCTCGTCAGATACAAACTTCACAAATTTGGAGATTGATGACTTGAGAATCAGTGGCTGGATGCCTTTGAGAGAAGTCCTGCTCGAGACGGCTGCAAACGAAATAGCCAACGGCAATCCCTCGATGGAAACGCTGAAGTGACACGAGGTGGAGACTTTCACGCAACCTTGGCGAGCCTGACGCTTTGCCTTGTCGACTTCAAAGGTCTTCCTACAACCACTGCAGAGGATCGAACTCACGTTCGAGGCAACAGGTGGCGTGAGAAAAGGGGAGAGAGTAGAGGGCTTGTACGAGTTGATGGTTGAACGTCAACGAATGGGATGTAGTTAGCGTGCCAAGGCCCTTTAGGCTTCGTGCCTCCGGGCGAAATAATTCCATCCATCCATCCATCCAGTGCAGTCGACGCGTTGCGTTTGGCGGGCGATGGGTTTCCCATTGCGGGAAGGTAGGGTAACTAGGGCGTCAAACAAGACCAGTCTGACAAACCATTGAATTACAAATGGATCAACAACAATCTCGATCACTAGCTCGCCTCCTGGGCCCGACAGCCATCGCGCTCGCCGTCACTGAACGAGTCAATGCAGCCATCCTCCCCAGCCCCGATCCCGCCGTCGTCTACTTCGACGGCACCGTGCTCCTCGTCTCGGGCCTCGCAATCGTCCTGTACCACAACCTCTGGCGGGTGAACTGGCCGGTTTTGATCACCATGCTGGGATGGTCTGCGCTCAGTCTGGGGCTCTTCAGGATGTTGTGGCCGGCCGCCCAAACCGCTGGCGATGGGCCGGCGGTTGTGGTTGCCCAGACTCCCCTGTTCGACGCCGGCGTTGTGCTCTGCTAAGAGGGTTATGGGGGAAGTTGAGAAGGTGCAAGGCTTCGGTTGGTTGGCGCAGCGACGGCGCAGCGATGGCGCATGTGGGCACTGGTGGTGATATGGCACGGGCGACTCGGGGAGCGAAAGTGGAGCGGCAGACTCGATCAGGTCAAGGTGCTGTCACTAGGCATTAGGTTCCGGCACTGCTCCGGCGCTTCTGCGAGATGTAAGGCGTCTCAGTCCTCAATTAGCGACCACAGCCGTTTCCTCCACAGTGCCCACCGCAAAACGCTTCTTCAACACCTCCAAAATGCGCCCCCAGGGGTACTTCTCCGCCCCATACACCCTCTGCCGCCGCAACAGCACCAGCCCCTTCCCATCGCCCAACAACCCATCCCCACCCCTCCGAAGCATCTCCGTCCCCTCCCCCTCCACCCACACAGGCCCCACGCACCCGTACAAGACCTGCCGCATCCTCACCCTCCACGTGCCCCGCGCATCGTCCCTCGGCGCCCGCCAGTCGGCAACATCCGAGCTCACCACGGGCGCCATCTCTATCTCGTCCTCGACTGACATGCGAGGCGCGGCGGCCGGGTCGAACGGCTCGATTGCCCAGGCGCGGGTGTGCCACCCGGGCAGGTGTGCCAGCGCGGCGGGCACGGCGACATACGAGCGGCAGCTCACCGCCTGGGTGAGGGCGGCGGTGCCGAGGGCAGGCGGCAGAGGCAGGCGGCGGGGGCTGGGGGTGAAGGAGAGGAGGCGGGGGTCGAGGAGGGTTGTGAGGGCGCGGTGGAGGGTGGCGAGCTGGCCGGGGGTGAGGGTCCGGGGAGGCTGGGGAGGCTGGGGTTCGCTGTCCGTGGACGGGACAACGGCGGGATCTGGGGTGAACAGGGCCAGGAAGGCATGCACTGCCGCCTCGAGGCCGGGATGGGCGTGGTCGCCCATCGTGCCGTACATGAAGGTTGACGTGGTCTGGCGCATCACCGACGGGAACGCGAGAGTCCAGTCCAGCCCGCTGTCCAGAGCGAGGGAGATGAGGCGGTTGCGGACACTGTGAAGTTCAGTAAATCTCTTGTCGTTGACGACGGCGCGGACCGCGGCCTGAGCGTCTTCCGGAAGGGCGGATAAGAGCGCGTCGGCGACTGCGTCGAGCGAATGTTCCTCAATCAAGCGCGCCGCTCTATCCTGCGACTCTCGGGAGGCCTTCAATGGGAGGGATTCGAATACGAGGAGGTCCAACTCGATGTACTCGCTAGTTGTGGCTGTGATGGAACCTGGCAGCGGGTTCTGCACCTCATCATCGAGGATTGGCTGGTTAGGGTGGATTGCCCACGAGACGATGTCCTGTCCAGCTGAGGGAACACGGAGCGGCGGACCCAACATCACCAGGGGCACCAGGTCGTTGGCGGCGAGCACCAGGACGGTGAACGTCCAGATGACTTCCTGAACAGTCTGGCACCCGCTGCCGTCGAAATACAGTGGAATCCCTGCCGTATTGAGCGCGATAGACATGAGGTCCCCTTTCTTGAGGCAGTCAAAGGGCAGTATAGTGACCAGATGCTGCATGGCCGATACGGTGACGCGCCGTTCAGGCAGGAGTCTCTGTATCTTAAACCAGAGCTGTGACAACAACATCCCGGGGTCTGGATGGTTCACATCGGTCGACTGTTCTATGCCAGCGAGTCCGTTTGGCGCACGATCTGAATGGTTGAGGTAGACGCTCATGTAGTGGATGAAGCGGAACTCAAACGAGAGGACACGGCCATCCGCTCCAAAGCACATGAACAGAGGGCTGCTGTCCTTCAGGTGCTTGTTCATGCGGCACTCGTGGGCACACCAGCCTCGGGTGAACCACCGAGCTGTGAGAACCTTGGCGGTAAAAGCCCTAGCAGGGTCCAAGACGTGCCCCAGTTGCTTGTCTCGAAGTTCTTTCTCCCGAGACGGGATATACGCGTCGATGAAGCGGGCCTTTTGCTCCCCTTCAAGACTAGCACGCTGAACCGCCTGAACGAGGTCCTCATAGAACCCTCGATAGATCAGGCCGGCCTTCTCCTCCTCTTTGCTGAGTTGGATGTCTTCCAGCAGGATGGCGGTTCGACGCGCGGAGCGGTAAATGGCGTCCATAACACCGATATGGGCCGCCTTGTCTGCTGCGTCGTCCTGGTTGATGCACAGCTTGTCGAGCCAGACGCCCTCGTCGGGCTGGCAGAGCCTCATCACGGCCTTCATCATCGGCTCCGATATTTCCCACCCGGGGGCGATCGGCGTTGCGGCTGCAGCCAGAGGCCACTGTGGATAATGCCAGCAATAGCTCACTGCGATGTATGACGCGACGCGGCCGGCCGCCTCCGGGCTGGCCGAGGCTGGACGGATCATCCGGAGGTTGAGGTCCGACAGGGCGTTAAGCTTGGGATGGAACTGCCGTACAACTTCCGGGTTAAGCTCCTTGAGCCGGGCGAGGATGGCGGCCACCCGGGCCCGGCTCTCATCGCTGTGTGTAAGCTGTGCTACTTCTGAGAGCAGTTCATGCTTGTTTGTGTCCGACTGAGGCACCAGAGCCTGGCCGAGGCCGGCAAGGGCGGTCGAAGTTTTCCATTCAGCGTAAGAGTCCTGGATACCAGGCGCGGTCGCCATTGGTTTGTGCCGGAGTGTTGGGTTGAGATCAAGTTCGTCTACTAAGGGCGTCTGTCTCTTGAGGCTTTGTGTTTTCTGAGCGACGAGGACTGGACAAAAGCGCCTGGTATGCGCGGCATTGATGTGCGCTAAAGCTCAGCTCCCGCAACGCTTTCCGAATCAGCCTAGCGGCCAGACTCGCCGGATGAAAGTGGGGGTCGTTGTGCACATGTGCAAGCGGTGTGGCTGTGGTTGTGTGGAGGACGGGCTCGAGTGGACCAACACTTCCGTAACCCGCCTCAGCGTCTCGACAGCTGAACAATGCCTTTCCATTGACTCCTGACTGCTTTTGTACGAGGTGGGATTCCAACAGGTTGAATGCCTTCAAGTTACCAATTGATACCGTGACCATCGTGCCCCGTCCCCCATGTTGACCACCCGAGATCCCCGTATTAATCATGGCGACGGAGGATGCTCTGGCAGACCTCGCCACGTTTCCCAATGTTCATCCCCAGCCGAGCATCACGCGATCCGCTTAAACAGCAACTGTTTCGTCGGATCGGGATTGTTCTTCGTCACGGCAGTAGCTCATTACCCCCGGCGAAAGATATTTCTGAACCGGACTCACCGACGGCCCGCTCGACTGATTCGGGAATGTGCCATTGGCGCCCTCAGGCAACTTGAAGTACTCCAAAAGCAGCTTGGCCACAACCATCTTGATTTCATTCGCGGCAAGTCAGCGGCCAGGGCAAGCATGGCGTCCGAAACCGAACTACGCGGACCGTCAGCTGACGTTTCACGAGTCGCCAACAACCACCAGAAGGCCATCCTTTATCGAGTGCATCTCGGCCACCGGCAGATACCTCCATCCGTTGGTCATTTTCAAGGGCAAGAGCGTTCAACAGCAATGGTTTCCGTTGGATCTAGAGCCTTTTGATGGCTGGGAGTTCGTTGCAACAGAAAACGGCTGGACCAACAATGCCGTAGGCGTGGAATGGCTGGAACGGATCTTCATCCCCCAGACCCAGCCAGATGACCCTTCCGACTACCGTCTGTTGATACTTGACGGCCACGGCAGTCATACCAGCGATGACTTCATGTGGCCATGTTTCCAACATCGCATTCATGGCATTTATCTCCCACCACACTGCTCCCACGTCCTCCAACCATTGGATTTGGCCGTCTTCTCGCCCCTAAAAACGGCCTACCGCAAATCCTTGACTACGCTGGCCCTATGGAGCGATACAAGCATCGTGGGCAAGCGGAATTTCCTTGAGTATTACCGTAAGGCTCGATTGACGGCCTTGGTAGGTAGGAATATCCTGTCGGGGTGGAAGGCATCGGGGTTGTGGCCGGTCAGTATCGCCAATCCGCTGATGAGCCGGTTGTTGGTCGAAAACACCCGCGTTTCCATCCCCACGCCCCAAAAAGCAAGTCATCTGGATACTTTTGCATTCTCCAGTCACTCCAAGACCTATTGTCTTCGCCGAACCGACGACGTGGACTACACCAAAGAAGAGTGTTGACCATCGTCAACAGTTGACCGAATTCGCCCTGCAAACAGAGCCTTCCAGGATCCAAAGACAGCTCTTCCAGAAGGTCAACAAAGCCTTCGACAACATGGACAGTGATATGGTCCTCTTGCGAGCCGAAAACGAGGCTCTACGGGCACAGTTGGAAGCCATGTGTGACGGGGCACAGGGACTGAACTTGCGTATCCTCTAGTATTGGTGTGGTTGCACGAGGAACCAAACTGTGGGCAGGGTGCAGCCCTCAGGGAAACCCTGCAGAAGGGCTGCGCACTGACCACTGGCAAGCCCCATCACTGGGCTTGCCAGCTCCTCATCGAAGCTACAGGACTGCGACCCTAACCCTGGCACGGGCAATGCCCGTGACACCATGAAGCCCAGGAAGAAGAGGGTTGATATGAACCCAAATACTGTATTTGCGGACTTGGGGCTATCCGCAGGAATCAGATTGGGGCTGGGCAGTAGAGGTTGAATTGGATGAAACTTCTGAAGATGAGGAATCTAGTGATACCGGCGATTGTATTGTAGTGGCCGCGAAAAGTCGGAAATAGTCTTTTAAAGTGGTTGTGGTGGACATCTGCATCCTGGAAATTACGTGCCCAAATGTGGGGGGTGCCCACAAGCAGGGGGTTTGACTTAAGTTACGAGGCGAGGCAAGCACCCGACGAGAGACTCCCCAACGATAGTTTCTCCATCATGGGTAGTGGGTTGGCCAGCTGTGCTGTTCAGTCTCAAATCACGGCTGATCCGGGCGGGCCAGTGCCCCAATCCGCATCTGCCGCCGCTCGTGTGCTCACCAGCCCAGGTTCCAGCCATGAAAGTTTCGTATACCGCCAACCCTTGGCTTTCTTGACTACAGCCAATCGCTTAAACATTGTGACCAGCCGGTCAACCTAGTCAATGGTCCACCAGCATGCTCGCAAACAACGAGTGAATTCAGCATTATCAAACAGATTTTCCTAAGTAACCAAATATCTGGACATAGCTGCTTCATCCTCCGTTTTAAGAGAGCCTGCATATGCAGCAGCCTAGCGTCCAGCTGCTCGAAAAAGTCGTCTACGTGGTTCGCCTGCCAGTGGAAGCTGAGAATCGACTCGGTGCCGCTTTGGCGAGAGTTGACGATGCGGTCGAGAATTTGGTAAATCGCGGAAACCTCCAGCCCAAACCTAGGAAGGGTCAGCAATCGCCATTTGCACAAACAACACGAAACAGGAGGAAACGTAAATACCAGCTCCGCGTAACCCTCATCTTCGAAAGATGTCTCGGTCATCATTGTCATGAGAGGGGCAACTGCAAGCCAAGATGCCATGACGAGAGCGTGGCATTGGGTAGCACATCAAATCTAAGCGAGATGATGCCATGTATCGTAGACCGCAATGGCAATGCACTCTATGAAAACGAAGCCATCACCGCCGACAAAGTTGGGACCTTTTGGAGGGGGAGTCGGCAATCGACCGGCATGACGGGATCGGTTGACTGACGCCGAGCAATATGTTCATTGTCGGATACTGAACCTACATCATCAGGAAGACGCGCCCCTATAATAAGCCTTTGCTGGAGAGTTCACTCTGCAGCGCTGCCCGCGTTGGCTGTGCCGTAGGCGCGACGTTGGCCTCGGAGCTTGGTGCCGGCGTGAGCTCGGGCTGCTTCTTCCGCTGCTCTGTGGGAGACTCGCGCTTGACCTCTTTCAGACTGTCGCATCCCGTCAGCACATCATCGTGGAAAACGGCGGCTCGAGGTTGCTAACCTTCCTCCAACTCCAATTCCTTCTCCTTGTCCCCGGTGCCCAGAAACTTCTCTTATCAACCCTGTCACCCTTCTGCAATTTGTCCACAACTTCCCGGAGTAACCTTATCCTTACGTCAGACTGGCGTATAAAGGTTGCAAAATCTTTTCTCAACGCAATCATCTGGATAGATATGGACCCGATCAGCGGGAAGATGAAGATGAAGAAGGCCGTAGGATTCAGCCTGGCTTTATTTCGAGGTTGAGGTTTGCCGTTGAAAATGTGGGGACCCACTGAAACTTTGTAGATGAAAGACCTGTCGAAGCTTCGGCAATTTGAAATGCAACAAAGCAGAAGTGATCCCGGCAGGCAGTGCAGTTCAGGAGGCTGGTCCAAGTCGACAGTCGTCGTTCCTGTTGCTGTGCCATCCGAGCAGCTTTTCTGACGCGCAGTTAAGCCCGCATTTGCCCGTTGACTAACGCCTGTTTGGGGATTATGTTACCTGACGTTCTGACGTTGCCGGCCGATGTGTTTCGCACGCGACATGGGCCGCAACTCGAGGTTCCCACTCTCAAGCTTTCGCTTTTGGACCTTCAGTAGCATTGCCTTTCCAACTTCCATTCCAATCTTCCGGTTTATCGCTGGCTTTTGGATACGATCCCTCGATAGGGCGATGATATGATACTGAATCAGCCTATTCCACCTTCTTTATGGATATACCACTCGCCTAAGCTGAGGCTACGCGTAGCGCGGTCTTATCTGTCGCGTTATGCACCTCCGCAATATCAGCCTCACTCAAAAGCCTGCGGCTTCCCAAGGATGACACCCTCATCATCGACGAGGGCAACACCCGGGTAACCACCAAAACGTTTAACTCGACCCGGTTAAGAGCAACACCCTCGAAAGAGCACCATCAAAACGCGCCAAACCCACTTTCCCGCCACCGAGAGCTGTCTTTCCATACGAGAGAGGGCGGCACTTACAACGCACGTCATCAATGCCACCCTCAAGGCCTTGGGAGAGGGTGAAAAGCCCTCCCCAGATCCTAACCCGCGGACCCTCCAAGAGGACGACCTGGTCAAGCCGGTAGCCAACAACGCGCTAGGGCGGTCCAGCTCGGCGCCTATGACTCCTTTACAGCCCCACCGCCTAAACCGACAGTCCACCTCGCCTATCACTGTAAGACACGCTCGATCGCCCTTTAAGTCGTCCAAGAAAAAAATAAACCTTCTATCCACCGTCGAGTACGCCTGCGTAGCCCTCGCTGCGCAGCGCCAGTTACCCGCCACGGGCAAAACCCCCTCCCGGATCCACATCTCGAGTCAGGCATATCACTCTTGATTGAGAGGTTGGCGCAGGCTGATCAGGTTGATCAGTCTGCGCCAACCGAACAACTGAAACCGCCAACATCGAGAACAAGCTGGAAAAACTCAGCATCACCCAGAAACTTACGAGAGGCGGCTGCAAGGCCGCCCCAACCAGGGCGCCGGCAAGGAAGGCGACCAGAGGGACAGCCAAGACAACATCCCCTGCCGCCGCGGCCGCTCCCCTCACGCCCGTCACCAATGCAGAGGACGCCCGGTTGGCCAAAGTTGCGGACGACAATCCTTATGCGGAAGGCCGAGGCTTTGCTACGGCAAAAGGGTTGGTCCTCGGCCTAGGCGATTCTTGTGGAGGCCGCGGCTGAAAGGGCATCCAGTCTTTTGCCCGCCCGACAAATAGCCATGGCCTTTTGTCTCGTAGGCCGGAGCATGGAGAAGATGGCTCAGGATTCTATGTTCTCTGTTATCTATGACTCAACCATCTCTCTCCCTGAACTCTCTGGTTCAGACAAGGCGTCACCGGCCCGAGCGAATCTCTTGTCTAAGTGCCTCTGGAGGCGAGGGATAAGCACAGCTCTACGTCGAGAACCTACGTGAAGCCTACGACTATCTCCTTGAGGCGCAGTCAATGACTGCTGTTAGTGCGATGCCAGCCTGATCCACAGGATATCGGTCCTGCTCCAGAACGTCGGCCTGTTCCTCACAGCCACCTCAACCAAATTAAAGGCAACCAAATCAAAGGCAGCGATCCACTCTGCCTAGACGGCCTACTCGGCCGAAACCACACTTGGCGCCAGGGAGCGGAAAGCGGGGATCTAAGAGAAGAACTCGACTAAAACGACAGGCTGGATTGGCGCCGGCGCTCTAATCTGTCACGGCCAGGCGTACGAGTTTGGGCTTTACACTCGACCTGTACAAGTTACAGAGAGACTATATCGACATCGCGCCCAAGCCCTGGGTTATCATATCCGACTCCCTTAGCGAGTGTAACCACGACCTATGTATCACCAAGTTCCAAGCTGGGTAGACTCTATTTATGATCCGGCTGCCCCTCGAGCGGGCAAGTTCGCGTGATACGGATAGCGACGTCTTCGACTTTCAGTAAGGCTGCTCCGAATTGCTGGAAATTGTCAAGCTGATCAACCAGACGAGCCACTACTCGAGGAAAATGACTGTCAGGGGTGCCAAGAGCGAGTGGTAGGCTGAGCACGAGGCATTGGACAAGCGGTTGAAGGAGCTGCTTGGGGGAATCGCGTATATTTAGCTGGGCGGGTTCAGGGGGGTCTTCTCGTAGTTCATCCGGTGCCTGGAGCTGCGGACGAGGTTCTATAAGGACTTCGTTGCTATTTTAGATGAGTACCTCCCTTCGTAGCGATAGATATATAATTATAGAAAGAAAAGCAAGATGGCGCAGGGTGTCCGTGTCACGCTGGATATGAACGTCCTGGAGCTGTTTCTCTGCCTCAGCGATGCTACTCTGCCTAACTGTGACTTCGACGACGAGCTCACCGACCTTCTCTACTTTGCCGTCGATATACTGCAGTTCAACGGTAAGTGGAACGCTTACGACGCAATTGACTTTGACTCGATGGTGGTCGAAACCATGGACGCCCTCACCGCCTACCACTCGGCCGCCAACGCAGCCGATAAACCCCTCCCCGTACCTTGCACCATTTGGTCCTAGACAAAGCCATGCACATCTTCCCTTGGGATTCCCTCCCATGTATGCAGAGTCTCCCAGTCTCGCGCGTCCCCTCGCTGGCCTATCTCCGCCGCCTGCTCCTTGACCGGCACCAGCCCGAACAACAACAATAACAAGAGCCTACTGGAACCTCCTCCTCCTCTCCTGCCCTTGAAGGGCACCACATCCCGCTATGTCAGGAACCTACATCCTCAACCCGTCGGCTGGCCTTCAATCCACCCAACGCCTCTTTTCGCTCGCCATCTCCACGCAACTGCGCCAGGGGTGGAAGGGAATCACCACCCATCCCCCGACAGAGGCCAAATTCGCCGGTTCTCTAACAAAGTCTAACATCCTGCTGTACTTTGGCCACGGTCCCGGAGCGTAGTATATCCGTGGGAGGGCAGTGAGGAGGCTGGAACCTAGTTACCGCGCGACGGTGCTGCTGATGGGGTTTAGCAGCCCCGCGCTGGCGGATAATGGCGAGTTTGAGCCTCTGGGCCCGGTGTGGAATTACATGATGGCGAACTGTCCGGCCGTGGTGGGTACATTGTAGGATGTGACGGATCGGGATTTTGATCGGTTTGCGGGGGGTGTGATGGAGGAGTGGAGGTTTGTTGGATAGGTGTGTGTCACTGGGAGGGGGGAAACGAAAGGTAAGGGGATGGGGAAAGGGGAAGGGGAAAGGGGAAGGGGAAAGGGGAAGGGGAAAGGGGGTTGTGCTGGATCTGGGGAGACGGAGGCTATGGGTGAGAATTTGAAGGAGGGTTCTGCTGATGCGAGTCTTGTATAGGCTGTAGCAAGGAGTCGGGGGAGGTGTAAGTTGAGATATGTCACCACTGCCTCGGTTGACTCTACGTAAGTGATATTGTATAGCGGTTCAGGTTTTTTGGGGTAGACGGTGTGGTGTGGGATGGAATGGAGTTGGGTTGAATGGTTGATAGACGTCATGAGTATAACGAATCCGTTGGATGTAAGAACGTTGCTTCGCACTTGACTAGGAAACGACGTGGCTGAGGTTCCGATCGAGTTTCGTGAGTGCGGCCAACTACGTATTTGATGCTGCTGACTGATGTACACTCCCTTTTCTCCTCTTGCCTTGAGCGAAGTGCTCTGTCGCATTCCGTCCACTTTATCTCTGCCTGCTCCAATTTGCCCAGACGGCCCTATGGCGAATGGGTTTCTAATATTTGAAGATTAGATCGACTTCATATGCAGGACCTGTCTTTTTCTCTATCTGCATGACAGTGCATGAGAAGATTTATTCGTGGGATAAGATAGGCAGGTGCGGGAGATCTTTCAGCCGTATGACGCACATCAATCAATGGCATCATGATAATAAATCTCAGCTCCAAGTGCGTTCCTATCTCATCTTAATTAAAAGCTGGGGTTGAAAACTCCGTTCATATCTCGTCTTCAAGAACTGATCACGGACATGGCTTCAACCATCAATCTCGGACCCCTCCCCAGCAAGATCACAGGCAGTTGCCTCTGCGGGAAGATCGCTTACAGAATCGATTTTCCCGAGGGGCACGACTTTGAAGATAGTGTACTGTGCTCCTTAACCATTCATCCCCCTTCGATTCCAGCACAGTTGATGTCCTAACCAACTGACCAAACTTCAACCCCTTCTTACAGAGCGGCACCTGCCAATGCACCCAATGCCGGAGGAGCACGTCGTCCCTCTTCTTCATGTACCACAAAATCCCATATGCGTCGCTGACCTGGACCACGCCGCTGGACGCGCTCAAGAAGTATTACTGCACCGAAGGCAACGCGCGAGGGTTTTGCGGCGAGTGCGGCTCGTTCCTGTTTTGGCGCCGTGAGTCCGGCCCCAATATTAGTATTGCCATTGGGACGGTCGATCCGCTGTACCTTTGGGGTGAAACGTGGGAGGCGTCAAATGGAGAAGTTCCTCAGGGCGGGTTTGGTAGGGCGCTGGCCAGCAGTGGTGGTGGCCATGAGTGGGTCAAGAACGAGATTCCTGGGGTGACGGACAACCTCGAGCTTGTCGGTGTTGGGGGAAGAGGAGAGAGGTTCTACTCGGAATAGGTGCTCCCGGGACTGAGGGCATGCTTGTTTGTGTGGGATATGAGGGGGTGCTGATGTGGTATCAATAAGTACCGGGCCGAGTTTCGCGGCCTCCTATCGCACAACCTAAGGGCGGAGTGGTAGACAAGTCTTCATCATGCAATAAGATGCAAGCGATGTTTACTTTTTTTGTATGTTATTCTTTCTTAAGTTGTTTATGACTGGGTAAGATGCCCAATCGAATGTGAAGGTGGTGGTGTTGGTTGTAAATAGACAAGATTTTGGTGTTTGTTGGTGCAGGAAGGCCCTATCCTGACTTGTCAGTCTCGCCAGTGGATCATGGACTCGGACTCTTCTACCCAAAAGAACGATCCCTGGCTCATCATGGCAGATTCGGGTGATTGGAAGCTTAGCTGTTCTCACATTAACAGGCAGATACAATCTGAATCTGACGCTCAGGTTCTCCCATCTTGGGGCACTGCAAACTGACGACCTTGTTGATTGGCAGCAGCTTCCTCCATCTGGATAAGGCGGTGCATATTAAATCAGTTCCATTCACTCTCAATTAAAAATCTGTTATTGGGGAATGAGATAGTTATATTTCACCAGCAAACCCACCACACCTCAATGGTTTAGGAGCCTAGGAAGTCACCCTCGGCTGAATCGGGTCCATTCAGATCCCCGGAGAAGCCCGTCTCGCTTATTAGCCTCAAACACGCTCCATCCGTGACTATCAAAGTCCCTTGATAGAATCGAAGGTATTGATAGTTCAAGAACATTCCCTCACAATAGTATCAAACGACCGAGTTAAAGGCTGGGATGGATGAGAAACGGATTTGTGTTTTAGCGCGGTGCAGTGGGGCCTTTGCGCCCCCAAATATCCGCTCCCCCAGCGGGGGCTCAGTTTCCTATCCGAGCTACCCACGCCACCTTACGTACCGGTATGAGCCTGGGAGCCTCTCACGGTAACACTGCAGTCAGAAGCGACAATTGTGCAACTGACGCAAAAGGCTTCTTCCCTCATTGGACATTCGCAGACGATCTGATCGACAATGGAACTGATTGACGCTCTCATTCATTCGCACGACATCGAACCAAGAAATCGTCGCGCCAAGACGAACGTCAGTCATGTTCGATCTCAACACGTCATTGGTTGACCCCGGATCAGAGACAGGAGGATGATGTCAGGGCGCCCAAAGCCGCTTGTTTGATGGCTGAAGTCATGACAGCAGGCCGTTGCTATTCAGACCATCCAGGTCTGAATGACGCTGTTGGGTGCTGGCTTCTCATGCCAAACATCAGGTATTTATACGTTTTGGTCCGTCCATCAACTACCATCTGGAATTAGACCTCGCACCACCAACCCAACGGACGATTCCACTAACTACCCGCAGGCGGCGGACTTTCCACGTTTCAGACACACGCTCCCTATTACTTTCAGAAACCTGTCGCCTTCACCCATCGCCACTGCGCGCGAAGAAGCAGTGCAATGGCATCCGTTGTACTCCCTGGTGCTTACCCTGACTCGGTTCCCGCAACACCAGAAGAGACCATGCAGCATCAACTCCAAACCGAGCAACACCCCCGCCATTCCAGCAAGCTGTACAAGCCCGGCGATCCCCGGAGTCACAAGTACAGTGATTCCGGCGTTGGCATGGCCGAACAGGATTCCCTCACGTCTTCCCGCCCGAATCGGAATCAGCCAGACCAAGCAGAGGGTGGCGGTCTTTACAGGCGGGATAACCACGAACCCATTGTCCCATTGGAGTCGATCCAAACCGAGCCGGATCAATACACGCCAGCACCAGAGCCTGAGGGCAGCACCCAACCTCACAGCAACAGCAACGACGGGCACGTGGCCGCTGGGGCTACGGCTACAAACGCCGATTCTGACAGTTCAAGCAACTCCGAGAGGACCAATAAATCGAGCTCGCGGGGCCAAAATGGATCGGCACCGTACTGGGGTGACCTCCCCAAGGGCACAGACGGAGGCGTCTATAATACAGTGATAGGTCATGGCAGCCCCGCTGATGATCATGACGAGCACCACAAACTGCCGGCCAATTCAGCAGCCAGGCGATCCGTCATCGCAGGTCGTGTCGCTGACTATCCCAGGGGTAGCGGCGTCTACAACCGTGTTGTCGGACATGGCAGTCAGGACGAGGAGTCCAGGCGCCACAGCCGACGCCACAGCGGTGATGACAACCGTAATCTAACCGATGTTGGTGCCAGTGGCGGTGACAGCATGTTCTCTGCTCCTTTGCCAGATATCCCCGAGGAAAGGCAGAAGACCGCCCAACAGGGTACCTTTGCTGACACACAACATACCCGGGCCGTTTCTGGCTTTGTCCCTGAAACAGCAGTCGGGGATGATGTGCGGCTCTTGGAGGTCGCCTCAAAAGAATCTGGTTCGATTCACGCCCCGCGGGAGTCCCAAACGACACAACATCAACGTACTTTCCCACTCACAGCGACATCCACCGAGGATCGCCATCAACCGGGGGAATCAACCTCGCCGTCCAGGTACGGGGCTATTGCAGGCGTTTCTGGTATTGTTGCTGGCACCTCTGCACACGAGTACTCCGCAGGTCACGGCAAGCGGCCTGGATCCCCTCGTGCAGAGGGCCGTCGTCGAGCGGAAGGCGTAGCCACTGCTGGCCCAACGCACGCGTCTCCGTTGACAGGGATGAGGAATGACGAGTCCCGAGAGGAATCCCCCAAGGGTGAAAAGAAACACAAGATCCTCGGCCTCTTCCACCGCCACAAAGATGACGGCAACCAAGTGGGCGAGAGACCTCGCAGAAAGTCCGTTGGCGACCATGTCGACCCGGCAAGGAACAATGCTGCTCGCCTGTCCTCTCCCAACCGCCTGCGCAAGCTGACCAAGAATGATGCCGCCACGGAGCGCAGGCGGTCGAGGTCATCGTCCAGAGCGGACAAGCATGACCAGTCCAGCCATGGCAAGGAGAACATGACCGCTGGTGCAGCCGGTGCTGCCGTTGTCTTAAACCGCCTCCATCACAAGAACAACAGCATCAATGAGAGACATCAGGAGCCGGGAAGTCCAGTCCGCGGACAATTCTCAACCGGTGCCGGCGAGGCTCAGCATGAGTTTGTGGAGATCTCGACGCCATTCGAGCATCCACGGGAACCGCCTATGCCCCCCCACGCTGACACTACCTCGCACGACATTGGTGCGGCAGGGCAAGCCGGTCAATATAATGTCCTGGCCAGCGGTACGCCCTCTGGCGTCAAGCATACTGGAGAGGAGAAGGTGTCCACTGGCGCCGCAGCTTCGCGCTCGACCGGGAAACATATGGTAGCTCGGGAAGCTGGTGCTTCCAATACTCCCAAGTCGTGTGGAGTAACCCCAGCGGACGGTAAAGCTCGACGAGGCAGCACCGGTATCATCACTCAGGAACCAGGAAACTACAACACTTTATCGTCCGGCACACCTTCAGGCATCAAGCATTATTCTGTCCCGTCGACAACAACCTCAAGAACAATCTCAGAGTCTCGGCGTCGCAGCTTCTCCCCCAACGCGTCGACCAACCCCAACGACGACAGCACAGAGTATAACGTCCTCCCGTCCGGCACCCCCTCCGGCGTAAAGATCAAGCCCAGATCTTGTAGCCGGAGCTCCCAGCCCGCCGACCTCGCCACACACGCCAACAATTACCAGTTCGGTCACGGGCAGCAGTACAACACCCTGGCCTCTGGCACCGCCTCCGGGGTTAGGAACCGGGACAGCGAAATTCCGACCTATGACCACCACGTAGAGCCCGAGATGGCGCATCACATGAGCCCCGAGGTGATGCCTGACGCTTACACGGCGTCTGTTCGCCGATCGTCTTCTCAGGCATATAATCAGAGTCAGAGTAGAGGCCAAAGTCGCGGCCGGGAGAGCCGAAATGTGAAAGATTGGACAGAGCAAGACGAGTATCACCAGTACCCTACCAGCCAGCAGGCGGCAAAGGGAATGAGTCCTGAGGTAATGCCCGGGACGTACACTGCATCTGTCCCTCGGTCGTCCTCTCAGGCATATGGTCAAAGTCAGAGCAGGGGTCAGAGTCGCGGCCGGGAGAGTGGAAATGTGGAAGGCTGGACCGAGCAAAACGAGTACCACCAGTACCTTAACAGCCAGCAATCGGCAAAAGGGATGAGTCCTGAGGTAATGCCGGCGGCTTATACCTCGTCGGTTCATGCTCCGTCTCAGGCGGGTCGGCGAGAGGAAGGGGCAGCAGGTCAGGGTGCGGGGAGGGTGGTGCACAAATGTCAGCACTGTGGCGGTGAGAATGATATTAGTGAGTACATTGAGCGGGCTGTGCGGGAGCGATTCTAGAGGGCGAGGTTATGAGATTGAATGACGAATGGATGAGGAGGTCAAGTTAAGTCTGTTGGCGAAATTTTTCTCCTTGAAGAGCAGGCAACGGCTACAGCACATTTCTTCAGTACTAGTATGCACGAATATGATGGATTTACTCGTGCATCTGCTTCTTGAACTGTGCCAAGTGTTGAAATCTCTTTCTGTGCAAGTTTGGCAATATCTTTGGTGGTTGAACTGACAAGGTCAGTCAGGGGCCACTACAAACATACTCCCTACACTGTATGGTGGTCTTCTTGCGCCCTGGAAGCCAATTCCCCTTAAAACAGCGTGCAGTTTTCTCGGAGGGCCTGAACAATTCAAAAAGCACAGTGTTTGAAGCGCCAGAAATGACAAAAGAGTAAGTTTGCGGTTTGTGTGGATCGAACACACGGCCTTCAGATTGATTTTTACTGAAGTTTGACTTCAGTCTGACGCTCTCCCAACTGAGCTAAACCCGCTGTGAAAACGGCATTTTTTGTTAAACTAAGTAGCAAGATGGGTCCGGCGATGGGACGTTTCGGGCCTCGGTGTGGATTCGATGGGAGTTAAGGGCATAAACAAGCGAACATCAAGGTTGCCCGGGCAACAAAGACTACCCCTTCGCGCCGATACTAAAGACGGAAATGCCAACCCTGAAAGCGATAGGAGTCTGACAGCCTCGGATCAATGATAGGGGCTACAACTACGATACTGCAAAAAGATGGGAATCATTGATGCAGAGAGGCGATCTTCCCGATATACTCGTTTAAACACCCTCCAGCCATGGCTAGAAGTGGGCTGTAACATGGGTAGCACTCGGCCTTAACTACCGGACCGTCGCCATACCCGCGTGCCACCGCGACGACTCTTGGATGTACCCGTCTGACGTCCCCCTGAGAGGGTTTGCTGCTTGTACGGGCTATCTGCAGACACTGGACCGCATATCCATGGATCATTATGCGGTCTGATTGACGGTTAGGTACTCTAGCTGTAATGATTCCTTCTCCCTGACCTATCCAACGCCTATACCCAAAAGTCAAAAAACAAGATCGACAGTGAAGAACTCAATACCCGTTACTAGCATAATGAGGATTTCGAACCGGCATGTATCCGCCGGTGCCAGATGCCGCGGCAGCCGGCAAACCCCCAGCTGCTGGTGGAGTTTGGTGCGGCGAGCTGTAAGCAGATGGTGTGGTGGTTTCCTCGTAGGATTGGATCACTGACGTTCCCATCGGAAGATAGGACATGTGATACTCCTCTTGATGAGACGGAACATGGACCGCCGAGACCAGAAGACGCTGCTTGTCCACCTCGTGCTGCCTCCCGCCATGGTCTTGGTGCTTATGCCCATGCCCATTATTGCCCCCTACCAGCTGGTCCCCCGACCTCCTATTCCTCCTGTTCGCAATCCACGCGCCGAGTCGATCGAGCACAATAATCAGGTAGAGAAGGATAACCGCAATCGGCAGGATGATCGGCGTCTCAATGATGCTGTACATCAAGTCCTTGCCCGCCGACAAGCCAAGGATGGCAGCCGCAGCAACCACGACCGCACCGCGGTCAAAGAAGGCTGTGAAGTCAAAGGCGTCCATTTTGGTCGTCCGGATCAGGATCATAACGACGAGAAAACAGCCGATGAGGACCAGGTATGCCGCCCAGAAGTATCGATACACGAGCTTCCACGAGTTCAACATGACCTCGATGACGTCGTCGTCCAAGGGGATGTTTACGCCCAGCCCGCTGTACAGGGCAGCCGCCACGTTGGCAAAGAGATGCAACATGGTGTCGGGCAAGTCGGCGCCGCTGGCACCCTTGACATTGGGGCCGCAGATGCCCGTGGTGTTGCCGATTAGCTCCAAGTCGGACTGAATGGCCGGGACGAAGATCAGGCTGGTCAGCTTCTTGTCGAGCTGAAAGTAGTCGATGACCGAGATCAGTTTGTCTGCCAGGTCTTCGCCGTCGAGGTGGTCCTTGAAACAGTACTGCACGAGTGACTTTTCGAACTTTAGAATGCCTCGGGAGACGTATCGTGCAAGGGCGACCTGCTGTGCGCCCTCAACTACGCCGACAATAGCGAGATGAATCGGGAAGTGCAGGACGGACCAGATCTGCTGCCGAATGGTTCCAAAGTGGCCGTGCGGATGGTTGTCAAAGTAGATCATCCACGTTCCAACCTGCCCATGTTAGCCCCGGAAACATCCCCGTCGAAGCCGGGTCAGCTCACCAAAATCAGGACAATACACAGAACCAGGCCGGAGCCTTCAGGATCGAGCCCGGACTTGCCCATCATGCGCGAGATAGTCTTGGTCACGCCGATCGCACCCTCTCCGATAACAATCAGCGTCAACAGCCCCATGCGCTCGACCAGATGCGTCTTCTTAAAGCTCAGCATCCGCCAGCAGCACGAGACGGTGATGGTAGCGACCGTCTCGAGGAACATGACGATCCACCAAACACTGTAAATGCCATTCTTTGTGTCGACCGGCTTCCCCTTAGCAAAGGCGGGGATCAAAGCGGCATAAGCGCCGGCGGCAACGACATAGGTCAGCACGTTGAGGAACACGGGCAGGTACAGGTCAGTCCGCCTAGCCATGCCGACAAAGACGCCCACGACGGTATACTGGACACTGAAAAGCACGCGGCTGGCAACGAGCGTGTAGCACAAGATGCGAAAGATGGTGTTGTCGCCGTCGGCGGTGCCCGGGGCGAATTTGGAGCCGACCAGGGCGAAGCCCACAAATACCATCATGATGACCGTCTTGCAGGCGCGGCTGAAGATGCTGTCGTTTTCGAAGCGGACGTCGTAGAGCACCGTGTGGAACCAAGTGACCCAGATGATGGCGAAGAAGCCAATGTAGGCGAAGAGAGTGGAGTGATCGACGATGGAGTGGTAGGCCGTGAAGGTGGCGAGATTGGCGACGAAGAAGAGGTCGAAGAACAACTCGAGCGTGCTCGCCTCTTGTCTTGGCGCGAAGACAAGCTGCTCTGAGTCCTCGTCGACGCCCTGGAGGGGATTCTGGATCCATGGCACTATCGTGTGGATTCGCCTCTTCGTCTGATTCTCATGTCTGTCGAGAGTCAGCGGCAGTCCAGTTGAGTCTGATTAAGTGCAAAGAAGCAGTAGGTGAGCCATACATTGTTTTGCGGCGGTGGAAAGGTGCCATGCTACCTGATCGATTCTCTCTGGGGACAACCAGACAAGGGAACCGATAGCGAAATCGCCAAGCGATGAACTCTGGAAATGTTGAAGACGGAGGGGCGGGAATGTTAGCTTGGCGAAAGCTTCTTTTTACCTCCAAGAGACGGGTTCCGACTGACCGAGCTGACTCTGGTTGGGCTCTCGGTTCTGAACCGGGCGATGCACACGCTAGCGCTGACGCCCAAGTGCTCAGCCGCGGCCTAAGATGAGCAGCTCCACAAGGTCTTTACCAATGGAGAAAGGCAGCCGGGGGAGAAGGAAACGAGCAGGCAGAGTGCTGCCTGAAAACACGCCATTTGCTTTTCTTTCCTCTCGCACAATGACTTCCATTACGGATAGTAACTCCGTAGATCGCTTTACACAGTACAACGGGCACCGCTAAAAAGGCCCCACAAGTGGTTTTTCCCCACAAATTGACCGCTTCAACTTTCAAGATCAAGGACCTTGTCCAGTGGACCTGCAACGAGGATGACAAGAATGGGCTCACCTGCATCGACAAGACCTCTCCGCCGTTGGTGTGGACCGACTATGGTCACTTAGTATTTCTGGTTCCCGCCTCGTGACTTTTGGTAAATCTAACGTCCTGAAGCGATCCCATTCTCTCGTAATCAGGGGTGCGATTCTCATAGGTGGAATTGCCGATGGTTCTCTGAACTTCTCCCCTTAAGCTGTTGACTGTGGAATTGCTCGGCAAGGGAAAGTAGCCCTAGCAGGAGTGTATGGCATAATATAATTGATAAGACGCTGCGCCTTCGTTGGAACGCCTGAGTACCCATCTTAGCACCATCGACATAACTCAGTGTAGGCATTCATGAATCTGTGCAGCTTAGGTGTCCATCGACTACAAAAATGCTTCACCACGCCACCAGTTTGACTGTTACCTCGAGGGTTTGTTGTCAGGCGCAGTGCGGCTGACTCGGGCTGAGTCGGCGTGGCGTTAAAATACCCTGACTGTGGTGATTCACCCCAGTAATTGAGAAGCGAAGCAGCTCAACACTGCGCAGGTCACGCCAAGCCAAGTGGGATAAGGCCGTCGACCAGTCCCCGCTCGAAAAACTCATCTGTCGAAGCCCAGTAAATGAAGCGGAAGCTCTTGCCTCACTCATCCATGTGTAAACACGATGTCAGAGTTCGTCATTGAAGCTTCGCTTCCATAAAACCCTAATTCCTCGGGCACCTCAACACACGTTCTCAAATCGCGGAAAGAGGGCGGCAAACTAGCCAATGCCGACGGCGAAGGGACGAGGCGGACTTGCTCGTTGGGCTCTCGAAATCTGTCAGAACGTTCCTTGTGCCCTTGATAATCCACGACCCGACACAAGAATCAGAACCTGCCAATGCCCAACGTGCTGGCTACCCGAGACTCCCTCAGGCTTTTCAAACATATGCGTCTCGCTGTTGTTTAGGTCTCGGCTGCCGGGATCCAGGGCGCGACGGTCTATCTCAGCGCAATTGCTGGAATGGCAGGTCTTCCGGTCATGAGGGCAGGATGCAGGCGATGTTCGTGCCGAGTTTGTTCAGCGGAAAACAGTTGTGGGAGTCCAGATTGTGTGACGCGCTTTCGAGCTCAGATCCCCGCAGTATGCATAACGCTATCTCCGGTTCTCTGCTCTGGCCAATATTTTCGCGTGGAACGATCCGGCGACGGGGCCTGCACGGGTCATATCTGAATGGATAAACGCACGGCGCTAGGTATGCGTCTATCCAATATAACTTGATTCTCCTTACCTGCAAATTCCGTCGACGCTCGAAAACCACAAACGCAACCCCACAAATCGCTTCGCACTCCATGCCACAGTGAGCCTCGTCCAGGGAATATCCGATATGGTGAAGCTCGAGAGTTGATCAGAAAAAGGGCGCGAACCAAGCGGGGTCAACCAACTTGAATCTATTGTGACCTCACGAGTTGCCCAGGGCCGCCTGATAACTTCACAGCCCTTGAAGACGGGCATTTAGGATTTCAGCGTGCTGCGCGGGTTCAAAGCAAGTCGCGACACTAACCAGCTGAATCCGTTCTATTCGCCTGTGAACGTGCGTGCCGAAGGTGCCTATGAAAATGCCGAGCAACACTGCCAACCCATCAGATTCCGACGCTCTGTTCGTCCCGGGCCGTCTCTTTTCACACTTCCAGAGCAAGTGAGTGATTGCAATTCCTCTAACTCTCGTGTTTCAGTTTTGGATTGCATGCTAACAAGCACGTGTTCTGCTCCTAGACCGCACAACCATCAGGGCATTGGTTGGTCAGAACTCTGGGATAGCGGCCAAAGCGATCTGTGGGACAGGGGGGAGCCCTCGCGTGCTCTGGTCAACCTGATCGAGTCAAAGCCGGATCTGATTCCGCATCCGAGCCGGTCATCACGCAGACCAAGAGCTCTTGTACCTGTACGACCCCCAGTTCTTCCACCCCGCACTCGTTTATTCCCGCCATCTCTGTGCCATGGAGAGGCATGCTGATACTTTTGCTTTCAAGGGCTGCGGAAAAGGATACGACGTCGCAATGCTGGCGCTCCACGGGTATGATGTCTACGGCCTGGAGGTCTCGCCAACAGCCGTCGAGACAGCCCGAGCATACGCGGCAACTCAGTTCGCGGCGCCGTCTCCGTACAATTTCTTAAACGCCAGCACCGAAGATCAGTACTTGGGATCCGAGCGGGGGCAGGTCAGGTTCATCGTCGACGACTTCTTCGCCCGAGGCTGGGAGGTTGAGTGCCGCTCCAACGACGAGGAATTCACCGGCTTTGATCTCATCTATGATTACACCGTAAGTCAACCGCCGGAGGGTATTGCCAGGTAAGGTATGTAGCTGACTGTTTGTTGAGTTTCTCTGCGCTCTTTTTCCCGAAATGCGCCAGGACTGGGCCCAGCGTATGAGCGAACTCATTTCGCCTTCAGGGGTGCTGGTGTGCCTCGAGTTCCCGTCATACAAAGACCTCAAGCTTCCGGGGCCGCCATGGGGCCTGCGGGAGGGCATCTATTGGGATCTGCTGGTGGCAGGGGGGAATGGGATTTTCGACGATGAAGAGACTGCCAAGACCGCAACGCAGGCGGCATCTGGAGGAGCCTTCAAGAGACTCCAATACATCAAGCCGCCGCGGTCCTATAAAGTTGCCAAGGGCACGGACATGCTTAGCATTTGGGCTCTGCGTTGACTGTAAACTCCCTTGAGCCAACGGTTCTGTTGCCGACCGTTTGTTCGGCACCGCAAGTTTGGTCGCGACCCCACGATGCTGACGTAAAGTCGCCGAGCAAAGCTTAAATGGAGTGTATTTAATTAAATGCTTCAGGAGGGTGTTCTTCCGGGTCTTTAACCGGACGGGTCGGTGGCAGTTGGGGAAGGCCCAATTCCCCGGAGGACGTTGGATTACAACAGTGACATTGGGCTTCAGTGCGACGCTGGATCAGATGGTACTTGCATGTAAGACATTAGTCAACCGGTGTCATGCTCGAGCGAGCGTAGTAATGCCCTCAAGACGAACAGAAACAGGAAGCTCTGCAACAACTCGGCCGAATCTCATCTCGCGAGGCCATCCCAACTGGAGTGACTGGACAGCCCAAGCTTCCCCCGTCCATGGTACCCAAAATGACCATAGCTCAAGCCGTGTGACACCAAGAAAGTGCGGTACATGCATTCCATCACATGCGATCTAACTACGCGTACTCTAGAATCCTCCAGAGCTCCGCCGCCGTCAGCAGTGACTGAGTCCTTGAGGTATAAGTACCTTACCTCCGTGCTTCACTTCGCCACGAAGCTCCGTAATCCAAGACCGTCCCCCAAAAGTCGATCATCTCGGGCGGCCAGCTGCAATCACCATGACGCCGCTCAATTCTCTGTCACTGGCCATGACGGCCCTCCTATGGAGAAAGACAGCCGCCGCCGTCGCTGCCACTGCCACTCACGATGTAAGAGACGACTTTGTCGGCCGCGGCCGCATCCACGTGCTGAACAGCACCTCCTTCGTCACGGCGTCCCTAGCCGACCGCATCGGCTGTCTCAATCGCCATGGCATGCTCACGCTCCGGGACTGCGCCGTCTTTACCCTCTTCGACGACTCGCCCCGCTCCTTCTATTCTGCTGAGGGCAACTGCAGCTTCAGGAACCCCAACACGCCCACCAACCGCGACAGCTACTACGGCAGTGACACTCATGCTTGGTCGTGTGGGGGCAAGGACGTGGACAAGAGCGTGAACGAGAACTATTATACTGTTGTAAGTTCTCCGTCATGGGTAGTTGCGAAAAGTTGAGATGTGGACAGGAAGGCTGACGTTCGCGGAGCAGAACGGGTTCAACTACCCGTTTGTTTGTAACGGCAACATCAACTGCTGGTACGATATCCTGATGGCTACGCCCGGCAACGACTACGAGCCGTTGCCGGTGTGGCAGTTCTTCTGGGGCGCCCACCAGCTCGATGTTCCGGCCGGCCATTCAAGGGTGCTCTGGTTGTGGGTGCCGACGCGCAAAAAGAGCGCGGAGGACGCGGATGAGGAGTAGGAGTAAGTTCTCGGTACTCTTACAGGGGACGTCTGAAACTTCGTCCAAGAGAGACGTCACGGGATGGTGCGGTGGGAGTCGTCTATGGATGGGCGACTTCCCAAACTTCAATTCAAGTACCCCTTTCAAGTTCATATGTGGCCAGGCAATAACCCGGAGTTCCGGCCTTCTACCACCTTGAAGTGAGGTACGTCTACCTGATGGTGGCCGAGAAGGAAGCATAGGTACATGTGTTTCACATTGGCACCCGACTCGGAGTGGTTGAGGGGGCCATTTGGAAATCCCTCTGGGTTTGGGTTGTCCGGACATGACCACACGCTGTAAACCTGGATATGCCCGGACAGGCCCGTATAGTTACTCTCGGTGGCGCGGTTTTCCTGTATAGTAAGTTGTTTGAAGGTCCGGCACGCCCTAGGGCACAGCGGTGTAGGAATAATAATAATTACTCTTGGCATGTGGTGCTCCCTGTCCGTAGTATACCAGATATCATACTTTATTACTACCAGCTTCCACGCTTCCCGGCGAGGGAAAGTGATTTTCGACCGCGGCAATGACGCTGCCTTCTTGCTCGATTCGAGTCAATCATGCCCGCTTTAGCTTTGGCATGCAGGGACGACTCGGGCGCAATCGGACACCTTCGAGCGGAACACTTGGATCAAGTCTCACCGACGCCTATCCTCGAACTTTTTCTGGATACCGCATCAGCGCGAGACATCTGGGCCTTCGCCTTTTGAATCAAGCAGCTCTAGCCCACAACAACGCTTCCTCCAACCTCATCATGGAATACGTCCTAGTCGCGCCCATACCCCTATCCCTCGCAAGCGCCGGGACCTCCCTCGCCTTAGTCACCCACTACTCCATGCACGGCATCAGCCCGCGGATGCTAATCCCGGACAGCCACCTAGCCTGACGCGCAGCAACGTACCACACGCACTCGGCCGCGTTGTCTCCATTCCTTTCCCGCGGCGCCGACGCCAACCAGCTCAGAAACTCTTCCGGCCGCTCCTCGACGGTTTGTGGGGTTTCCACGCCCTGCTCAACGGCAAGCACCCGAGCCACGACTACCAAGCCGACATGGCCATCGCCCAATTTGAATAGATCGTGCGGTGCATGTGCTGGACCATGGTGCGCGGACAGATCGAGGGGAGACAGGTTTCGGCAATGCGCCGGAACGCGACGCTGATTGGGCATGAAGAGGTTGAGCGGTTGCTCCGGGCGCGCGTGGCGCGGCGGCGCGGGACTCCGGGCTGGATCTTTCTGAGCAGTCGGTTGTAGACGTACGGTACGGAGATCGGTGAGGAGCGGAGGAAGCGGTTGGAGGGGTATGAGGCTGCGTTGAAGAAGTCAGACGACACCAGTACAGTGTCGGGATGAGCATGTGAAGAGAGAGTCTGGACAAGGGCCGGAAGAAACCCAGAAACTGCACCCCAAAGTTGGCGGATGAGAGACGGATACGCAACAATGAATCGCTTAGCATTGGGGTATCTATCTAACGCCGTCATTTCTTTTGACTCTGGAAGATGGTCGCTCCCCAACATGAGGGGACCGCATGCCAACACGGATCCAGGTGGAGAAGGAAGTCGTCTCACGGTCTGGTCTTTGGTCAGAGACAAACTGCCGGGCCCTTTTCGAGCTTCCATCACTGACTGACCTCTCGTTTAGGCTGGCCCAGTTTGGAGCCTATCCTTCCATCACTGGATTCCGTGAGAAACCCGTTGGTGAACAAGTCGTCGCTGGATTGCTCCGAGGGTCTGGCGCATCGGTACCGATCCCGCGCAAGCTCGTGCTTCCGTTTGACCGCCGAATGGCCCTCCTAGTTGGCGAATATCCTCACATTAAGATCCACGCTACCCGTTGCGATCACGCAGCGTATTTGCGCCTCCGCAGGTGCCGCACCGTTCTTGCCCGTCCCATTCGCCTCACCGCCATGCCCTTCGGCGCCGTTAGCCACGAGAACATCCTTGACGACGGAGGGCGCCCATCGAATGCATTGCACAAAGTGGCCGTGCGCGTCGGATATCGTCTTGACGCATCTCCCTTCCTGCGTGAGGTCCCAACACCTCAGCGTGTAATCGTCAGCCACCGAGAGCAGATACTTTCCGCCCGGATGGAAGACCAGGCCCCGCACCCAGTTGTCGTGCCCAACCAGAATCTTGATGCAGGTGCCTCGAGCATCCCATAACCGTATGGTCTTGTCTCTCGAGCCAGTCGCCATAAACTCGACCGCGCTCGTGGCAGGTGGTTTCTTGACACCTGCAATCGCAGCCAGGTGGGGGTATGAAGCGGCTGGAGCGATCGCACAGCAGAGGACGACGTGTTCGTGGCCGATTAGCGTCGTCTTGGGCTCCGGATTTGCTACTGATACGTCCCACAGCCGGCTGGTGTAGTCGTCGCTTGTTGACAAGATGAACCTGCCATCGATCGAAGGGCAAACATCACGCACCCATTCGGCGTGGCCCCGCAATGTCTTGACGCAGTACCCGGTGCTCACATCCCAAATCCGTAGCGTTTTGTCCCGGCTGGCGCTAACTAAGAGGTTGCCAGCGCCGCCCGCGACGCCGGATGGGATGAATCGAACAGCGCTGACGCTGTGGTCGTGGCCGGGCAACGTGCGGATATTCTTGTAGTCGTCGGATGGATCCCAAAGCTTGATAGTAAGATCAGAACTGCATGACGCAAGGAGTGTGTTCCCACGTGGCCCTCCAAAATCAACATCCAAGACGGCCTTGGTGTGCCCCTTAATAGTCCGTTCCAGTTCCCCAAGCTCCCAGTCCCATATCTTGATTGTTTGGTCTTCGGAGCCAGATGCGAGCGAGGAAAAGACTGGATGGAAGGCGACACAGGTTATGGGGTTTCGGTGTGATTGGAGGGTGTGCCGCGCCGGCGATTTGGGCAGCCAGTTCACTGGATCCTTGTTTTGCCGGGATGTCGGTGTCGCGTTGTCGAGCTCTGCCTGAAGAGCAGCATTGCGCGCCTCGAGGTCCATGATCTACGGGGGGGTGTGAAGAGTTAGACAGGTTCAGCCGCGCGGGAAGTTGGGCAGGGAGTCGAAGTGGTTGCCTACCTTTTTTTGTAACCGCACAACACTCGTCCACTTCTTTTCCAATAGGCCTTCGTACTTTTTCGCGGTGGCAGCATCAAAGACATCTTCGCCAAGGCCGAGCTCAGCGCGTAGCGCGGTCGCGGTGCTTGGGAGGTTGTTGGAGCTTAGGTAGGCGATGAGGGCTCGGTGTCTGCGTCTGGCCGTCAGTAGCGCCTCTAAGTACAGCCGAACCCCGACAACCTCGGCGTGAACTACCTACAGCTCCTCAGCCTGACGCGATGTCAATATCTGTGACATCGCAGACATACGAATGTGATTTAAAGTTCCTGGTTCAATTGGAGTTGGGTGAAATCGGCGAATTGCGGGGAGATTGAATGGCGGTCACGGCGCAGCTGTGTGGATTGGGATGTCTATGTGTATTTCGTGGCAAAGCGCTTGAGCCAAGGGGTCATGGTTGTAGGGTGATCGTTGTCGTCACACGCCTTCAAGGCGCAATCCGTAGTCCAGGTCGCAACGGCTCTGATCGGGTGAAGGCTTTCGTTGTTCCCTCGTCGACGATCCAGGGTTGAGGGTGAGGGGTCCTGGTGGATCTTGGCGTCTCGGATGGAGGAGAGAGAGGGCGGCACTGAGGGGCGTCGGAGGCTGGACGAGGGTTGTGCGTTCCGGTTATCGCGACGTCTTTGTTATTAATTGCTGGGATAGGACTGGTGAGCGTGAAGAAGCTCTTTGACGTTTGAGACTGCTCTGATAAAATGGGGGGTTGCATTTCGGCTATGTTGATGGAGCGCTCTGTTTGGGCCGTCAAGTCAGGGACTCGGGCAGATGTCAGCTGTCAAAGCTCACTGCCGGCCACATGCGCCAATGAGAAGTGACACGTCGGGGTCAAAACTGGCGGGTTCCTCCGGCAATGCATTGGTGGCCCAACTTGGCACATGTCAACAAGCCCAGGAGCCAGATCGGGCCTGGCGCCCCGCAATCATGCATCGCCAACAACGCAAGTGCCGCACACAACGAAGCAGCACTTGCAGGCGTAAACAATCAGCTTTCTTCTTGGGCCATTCGCAAAGCCCATTCGGTTTGTTGAGTAATTCACGCTGTTGTGACTTCAATCGATAAGTCTGAGTACTTCATCGCCGTCATCCTTCCCGTTGCCCTGCCGGTCTGCTCTTGTCCCGCTCGACCTGACCTTGACCCCAGCAACGGCACGCAGGGTTGCCTTGACAGTGCCTCGTCCACCGCCAAAAATCTAAGCCGCAACAATATCAGAGCATCAACAACAATTCCCCGTTACCGACTCCACGCCTTCCCCCCAAATCGCAAACGAGACAAGCAAGCAAGAGCGTCTGGTCAGCACATTCTGTTGCAATTCCACACAAACCTCCCGGACAAACAGCAACAGGTAGCCGGCGCAACCTCTGACGATTCTACTGTAGGTAGCCTCTATCCCCTGCGGATGGAACATCGGGTTGCCGTCCTGCAACACTAACTACTGGATGTCCTCATGTCGACATGAATGGTTGCAGCAAGCTGTGTCGTGTGCAGAGACTGATCAGAATTACCTTTTGCTTAGGCCGTCAGCAACACAATCCCGATACCGCCGTTCCAGCAAACCCAACAGAGCCGCAGTCCGGCGTTGAAGTCGCTTGCCCGGAGCCCCATCACAGAATGGCTGAAGAAGAGGACTTTAGCTCGCTGCCCTTGACAGATCGCTGGGTACACAAGGTACGAGTTCATGCTCCCACTCGCTCCCGACACCCACCCGGATTCGCTGAACGGACATTCTCGTGTTATTCTAGGTATGGAAAGTCCGAAAGCAGGCATATGAAGAGGCGGCCCAGCAGTTCGAAAAGACACCAGACGAGTACGACCCAGCCTTCCGACCCTTCGTTCAAGACCCGAGTTTGTGGAAGTCAGCCGCAGCAGACTCCAATGTTGCCGCCCAACAGGAGGGTCTCGCTGCGCTTTGCGCATTCCTCAAATTCGGTGGCCGCGATGGCGCGCTAAGGGCCCGCCAACACGCGGTGACGCCAATCGTCGAAAAGTGCCTTTCCTCCACTAGAGCGGCCACCAAGGCCTCTGCGCTCGAGGCATTGCTCCTCTTCATCGAGGTCGACGTACCCGGGCCGGTCATTGAGGAGATCCTCCCTGTCTTATCCAACAAAGTCCCCAAGGTTGTCGCCGCAGCGGTAGCGACTTTGACTCAGATCTATCACAACTACGGCTGCAAGACCGCGGACCCCAAGCCGGTACTCAAAATCCTGCCGAAGGTATTCGGCCACGCAGACAAAAATGTCCGCGCAGAAGCCACAAATCTCGCCGTCGAGTTCTACCGGTGGCTGCGAGACGCGATGAAGCCCATGTTCTGGAACGACCTGAAACCGACGCAGCAGACCGACCTTGAGGCACAGTTTGAAAAGGTCAAGGCGGAAGGCGCACCCAAACAAGAACGTCTCTTGAGGTCACAGCAAGCCGCCCAGGAGCGTGCTCCGGCCGGCGGTGCCGGAGATGAGGAGTATGACGACAACGGTGGGCAAGAGGAGGAGCCAGCTGAGGTGGATGCGTTCGACCTGGCCGAGCCACAAGACGTGATCAGCAAGGTTCCGAAAGACTTCTTTGACAACCTGAGCTCCTCAAAGTGGAAGGAAAGAAAGGAAGCGCTCGAGGCTCTGCATGCCATTGTCAACGTTCCGAGGATCAAGGACGCAGACTTTGGCGAGATTAACCGCTGCCTGGCCAAGTGCATGAAGGACGCAAATATTGCAGTCGTCACGCAGGCTGCGCAGTGCATTGAACTACTTGCCAAGGGCCTGCGGAAAGGATACGCCAAGTACCGCTCTACCGTCATGCAGCCCATCATGGAGAGGTTGAAGGAGAAGAAGCAAACAGTCGCTGATGCCCTCGGCGCAGCCCTGGACGCTGTGTTCTTGTCCACCGATCTCACCGAGTGTCTCGAGGATATTACCACGTTCCTTGCCCACAAAAATCCGCAGGTCAAGGAGGGCACCATGAAGTTTCTTGTCAGGTGCCTGCGCACAACAAGAGACGTGCCCAGCAAGCAGGAGATTGCGTCTATGGTTGAGTCGGCTAAAAAGCTCCTCTCAGAGGGCAGTGAGGCGCTCCGCTCAGGAGGCGCCGAGATTTTGGGGACCATCATGAAGATCATCGGCGATCGAGCTATGAATCCTCACCTCGAGGGCCTCGACGACATCCGCAAAACCAAAATCAAGGAATTCTACGAGACAGCCGAGGTCAAGGCCAAGGACAAACCAAAGCCCCCGCCACCGGCTGCCCGCGCTCCTCCAGGCGGTCCCAAGAAGGTTATGGGTGGCAAGAAAGCGACAGCCGGCGTGAAGAAACCCGCCCCTGCTGCTGCACCTCCCCCAGAACCAGCGCCCGCACCTGTCGCCGCGGCCGCGCCGAAACCCGGGCCGGCCAGCAAACTCGGCATGCCTAAACTGGGCGGCTTCAAAGCACCCCAGAAGCGTACGCTTGGCGGACCAGGTGCTGCTTCACCTCGGCGGCCAGCACCAGCTCCTTCCCCTCCTCCAATGGAAGAAGAACCGCCAGTATCACCACCTCCAGCCAAACCGGCCCCGCGTCTCGGGCTTGGCCGTGGTGGTCTCGCCGCCCGCTCGTTGGCGAAGCCTGCCGCACCTTCTGTGCCGGTCGCACCGCCATCTCCAACGCCTACCTCCGGGATCTCGTCAATTGAGCGAGCCGAGCTCGAAGAGCTCCGGATGGCCAACGAGCGGTTGCTTAAGTCGCTGGACGAAGCGCGACACGAGCGCTCCAAGTTAATGTCGGAGATCCAAGAGCTCAAGAACCAGAATGCGAGTCTTATCGAGGACCACACGAGGGATGTGCTCTCTATCAAAGCAAAGGAGACGCAGCTTGTCAGAGCACGAAGCGATGCCGAGGCGGCGGAGCAGACCAACGATCGGCTACGGCGAGAACTAGACCGGCTGAAGCGCGCCCTGAGTAAGGCTGAGGCGCTCAACGCCGCTGGGGGGCCAGGGAGCCCCGGCTCGCCGCACGGCCTCCACTTCCGGACCATGAGCCCGACGCACGACGACATATACCGGGACGCACCGCACCGCATGAGCATGGCGAGCACCCTGAGCGAGGAAAAGGAGAATGGTGACGGTGTGCCGCACCCGCGCAGCAAGCTCAGCCCCGAGCTTAGGTACACGGGCAGCAACGCGAGCAGCGGGCGCGGGAGCCCGGCAAGGGGGTTCAGGCGGGACGTCAGTATGGAGGAGAAGGAGCCGAGGAGTGCAGACATGGGTGGTGCGGCGGGATACGGCGGCGGCTACACCGATAGGGCGGGCAGTAGAACTGGCAGCCGCGCGGGTGGCAGAGATACGCCGTCCAGCACCACGACGACCACGACTTCTGGCATGGAGAGTTGGAAGAGGGCAGCGGAGGTGACGAGTCAGTTGAAGGCGAGGATCGAGCAGATGAAGGTTTGTTGACACACATTTTCTGCACCGTGCTGTGTTGTGGCTAACCAACATGCCAGGCAAAACAAGCCAGCAGGCCGCAGTAGGATGGTACCGCCGGCAAGAAGTCTACTGCTGCTGGGATGAAGGGCTCGGCTGGTGGGGAGAAGGTCTCGGCCTTGAGAAAACGGTCCCTGCTCAAGGCACCCTGACACGGCATTGTTTCTCGGTTGGTTGTTCTGGTTAGCATGGTCATGTTGCATTTCCAAGGCGTCGGTAAGGAGCGGAGCCATACCTCGTCTTTCATACCATTTCTTATACCTCCTCTTGCGTTCCCCATCTTGGTTTCATGGCATGCAACGCTTGATGATAGCTAGAGGGTCTGTGGAAATACAGTATGTTTACCGCTTGGTGTTTACCCATACAAGGACATCGATCGTTCTGTTGGTATTACTTGTTGGTCAAAGGAGCCAAGGCATGTTGGGGATATAACGTTAATGTTAGGATTCGGTATCTTCACTTGGCCCCGAATATCGTGGTTCTCGTTGGACCAAAGTGCGAGATGCCATTGATGCCAGCAATATCTACTCCGTCCTGCAGCTATCTCCAGTTTCCAATGACAACAAGGTGGTTGGCGAAGGCAATCTCCATGATCAGGCAATTTTTTTTTATACATTTGACTAAAGTCAGCGCGGTTAGTTCAGTGGTTAGAATTCTCGCTTCCCATCTTCTCCTGGAACAGCGAGTGACCCGGGTTCGAATCCCGGATCGCGCATGCCCTTTGGTTTTGCCACCCGTCTATGCCTCTTTCATGAAATCCTGCAGCCAGGTATTATTACCCTCAGTTTTAGGAGCAAAATCTAACGTTAATACCCGCGCTTGGGGGAGTCGAGCTTTTTGAGTAACCAAGGACGCCCACACCCCACGGTCTGTCGGTCATGCAGAGGCTCTAAAGCCAGAACCTTCCCGCCATCATGCATTGACCGAAATCGCTCGGGATTCTTGATCGCACCTTGGCTCGATTTCAAGCGTCTAATTTCGCCATCCGGTCGCATCGTTGCCTTCTGCCATCCTGTTTTATTGACGCCCGCCGTGCCGGCCGCTGCGGTACGCTTCTCGGCACCTGTCTTTTGCGATCAGCCGCTGGCTCATCTTTCCCCTTCAACCCTTCAATAAATCTGATTTATTGGTCTCCCTAATCCTATCAAGGACCTGAGCCGGGAGCCAGCCGAGTGCAAATGTCCGAATAGGGCAGAACGGGGCAAAAGGCATACAACAACGAGGATTTTCTGGTCGAAACCGAGCCAACTACAGGCAGCTTATCTGCGGGACAGCGGACGGGATCCCGAGCTTTCCGCCGCCCATGGTCGTACGCGATGGTTTGTTGTAATGGAGGGCGATATCAGGGGGGAACGGTTGGTAAGGCGCTGTGAGAAGGGCTAAACCAACACCCCTGGATCACCCATGACAACATGCACCACACAAAACTCGTACACAACGTAGCTGAGACGGTCATGAGAAGGTCATGTGCAACAAGATGGAACGGAGAGACTCAATTTCCATTCCAGATACTCAAACACCCGCGTCACATGCTTTCACTGACCTCGAATGAGCCGACTATTTAGTCTCTTAAATGTGAGAACTCATTTGAACAGATACTCGGCCGAGTCCCCATACAACCACATCTCCAACGCTCGAGATTATTCTTCTTGAGCGCGGTGGCAACCTCGGGGTCATGCCACCATTGCGTCCTGCCTAGAGAAGCGCATTAACGCTTTCCTGGTCCACGTCGGAGAAGCGCAACTGTTGTTGTACCGTCATAGTGAGCCAAGGAGTGTGTTTGGAGCAGGAAGAATGACGAGAAAGCAGAGAGGAAGGGAAATTCTGGGGTTTGAAGAGACGGGGAGGGATGGAGGCAACGACGGCATGAGCGAGCGAGGCCAGCACCGAGCGTCGAGGGACGGACGAAGTCGGTTCGCATCCTCCAACAGGGGGATGGAATCCTGGCGCCAAACATGCATCTCCATGGTGAATGCGCGGGACGCGTTCCGGAAGACTCGATGGGTGTGAACCGAGTAGAATGGGGCGCTGCCGTCAGATCAAACAAATCAAATAGGGGTCATATCTGACTGTTTGAAGATATCTGCCGGATATCTGTTATATCTGGGTCTCCTTCCGACCTCCTCCAAGTGATGTTGTCAGTCCCTACTGCTGACCCGACAACGTTGTCAGTGGAGATGGACCAGAACCGTGCGTTGCACTGATGCGCAAACGAGTCTCCATTGCAAAGGCTAAATCATCAAGTGCAAAAGTCCTCGTTCGGATCCAAGGTTCCAATATGAGCTAAAGTACAGTGATGCGGCGGGCCGGCGGCTCTTCGCCACCAGTGCATCCTTCATTCGGAAGGCTGATCGCCCTTCCAGTGTCCAACTGCCTGTCGCCAAGACTCTCTTCTATCGCCGCGCTGGTGATGTATGCCATACATTACCCTAATGGTAGATGATACTGGGAAATAGTAGTTTATGGGAATCCTCCAAGCCAAATTGAGCCCTTCTGTAACCAATCTTTGAGACATTGGAAGTGCTCGAGCGTTCTTAGGCTCATCGAAAGACATTGAGTTGTCAATGTCAGTTTGGCAAGGCTAAATGCCCCTTTACAATCTACTGGTATTGGCGGTCCGGCTGACCGCTGTTGTTGATATGGGCCACTCCCTGATAATACACGTGTAGTAAAAAGTGGCTCACTCGCTTTTGGCTCTCTCGCTGATAATGTTGTTGGAAACCAACAGCCACGATTCCACGGTGACACGCTTTATGGGAGCCCTCTAAAACCGTAAACCTTCTTGAGAGTGCTTGGGACCAGCCCGAATTCCAATTGAGAGTTCTTTTCTTCTCCTTCTCCAAGTTGCCTGGGTGCCTCCCAGACCTTATGTTCTGTAACAGCTGTGTATTACCCCTGACCAGGGTACGGCACCGAACCCAGTTTCCGAGTTTCAAGTGCCATCACTTCCATCAAATGTACGTTAGACCGTCGACTGAGCAAACCTAACAAATTCACCTCAGGCAGTACTACACTTTAAGAAAACAACCCACCCTGCCTAACAAACTAGCGAATCGCAGGGTCATCTCGTTAGCGCCGTCGGGTTTAGAACGGTTCCCCCAGAAGGCATTTACCTCGCTGATGCAAACACATTTAACGCCACGAACATCGTCTGCAGTGATGCTGGCCCATGGAGATCTTCGGCAAGCAAACTTCCAGTGCAGTCCGTCAAAGCTGCTGCGACGACTGTTTCCCCCTTGAAGGCCGAGAATGATATCCTGGATGTTAGCGCGTGTCTAGGTTGAAGGACTCCTGGATGTCGCAGTTTGGTAGAATTCCTATGAAAACGCTCAGAAATCGCTGTCCTGCTGTCTCCATCGTCATCGCCCTCGCGGTCTTCGGCGTTTTCCTGATTAGGTACGTGAAGGGGGTGCTGGGCGGAATGCGGAGCAGTTGAGGTGCACTGCGGAGGATGTGGCTTGTGTTTCGAGAAGAGAAACCGCAATTTCCCTGTCAGACAAGTCTCGCCAACCAATTTCCCAGAGGTTAGAACACAATCGTCCTCCAGGATTACTTCATTTAAGCTTAGAGCAGTAGCCACACAGAGAGCACAGCGCCCAGGAAACGACCCATAGTGTTTAGAGAGACCCTCCCTGCCGCCGACTTGCCATCGCCAGTGACGGTGCCATTCGTGATCGTAGTATTGCTCGCGGCGCGCAGTAGGGCCATGACAGCATCGTAGGCAGGCTTAGTCTTGTAATCAGAAGTCCACAGGAGGGCGTCGCCCTTGCCCTTCATGCTGTTGGGCACCCAGCTGTACTTATCGGTAAACTGCCAGAGGGTGACGCCCACGCATTTGGGGACATCGAGGCACGAGCCGGCTAGGGCGGCATAATCCTTAGCCTGCTGGTTCAAAGCGGTGTCGCTCGCGGGTAGCGAGTTGTGACGGATGTCGACCCCTGTGAAGGCGACCTCGACGCCTAGGTCGGTAAACTGCTTGAGCGAAGCGGCAAGACTGATGCGGGAAGGGGTGGCGCCTACGACGAGATGGCCCTGGAAGCCGACCCCGTCGATCTTGATCCTGCGCGCCTGGAGGTCCTTGACGAGATCAATGACCGCGGCGGCCTTGTTAGGCAGAACTTCAAGGTTGAAATCGCTATAGTAGAGTTTGGCGTCTGGGTCGGCGGCGGCAGCGGCGGAGAAGGCGATGGGGATGAAGGCTGGCCCAATGTACCGATAGAAGATGGAGTCGCGGTAGCTCGCGTCACTGTCACCGAAGGCTTCGATGACCACGTCCCAGGCGTAGCACTCGCCCTTGAAGTGCTGGACTACGTTCTTGATGTATGTCTGCATCGTGGCGATGAGGGTTTCGTTGGTCCAGGAGGCTTCCTCGACTATGGCGTTGTTAGAGATTACGGAAGAGAAAGACAGAGCAAATGACAATCACAAGTTCACAGGCGAACGGTAGAAGACAGTTATCGAACATGAGTCTTCTGACTAACCCCAAGAGTTGGAGCAGATGGGAGAACCCTGATCAGGGAGAGAAAGAGCGAGAGAGGGAGACCTACCGAAGGGCGGCAGCTGGGTGTAGATCAAGGTATGACAGCGGATCTGCTGGCCGTTGGCCTTGGCCTTCGCTACGACCTGTTCGGCGTCGGCAAACGAGTACTTGCCCTCGTTCGCCTGGATTGCAGCCCATTTCATAGAGTTCTCGGCTGTGATCATGCCGAACATGTTCTTATTGCTGACAATGGCCTGGTACTCGACATCGGCAAAGTTGTTGACGTCGGTGGCAGTGCCAAAGTACAACTTGCCGGCCTTGACCATGAGCGAGTTCAGGCCATCCTCTTCCTGGGTTGCGTTCTGTGTGGTCGTTGTGACCGTTGCGGCTGTGACCGTGCCATCACTGGCCAGCAGCCTCGAGACCATCAACAAGGCGCGCAGAAGTCTGGCCATGTTGCTCTCTTGTGCTCTGTCAAAAAGAGTGTGGGTTGTGGTGGAGAACCGTTGAATGTAAGGCCGGTTGCGGTGGGCTGCTTCCTTGTGCTGGAACAATAGATAAGTACATACGGAATGCGGTACAGTGCGGAGGACTCCCGAGTTAATGTTGGAGCTTTTCCGTGTCCCTTTGGATTCGGTATTTAGAATGCACAGTTCGCTTTTGCCTAGCCGCTAGTTAACTGACTGCCCTAGTTTAGGTTAGCGATTGCTTGGGCTTGCTGCTTTGACTCGCAAACAGCGTCAAAGCTCCAAAGGCCTGACTGGACACATACGAGTCAGGGGCCAATCTTCAGAATGTCAGCTGTGTCAAAGATAGTAAAGTTGTGTTGCGTGGGGTTGTGTTGCCTCTTGAACTTAACGGTATCTTGTGAAAGACAACCTTTCCAGCGCCTGAGCCTTTAAACAAGACGTTTCTTGCGAGTTCCCACCCCGCACAAGATCCGCCCTCAAGGCTACCGTCGTATTGTGTGACGGGAATCGAGCAGGGACGGGAGATATTTGTGGATAATTATAGTTGGTGCACTGTTTACGGATTCCTCCGTGCTTGATTTTGAAACTGATGCCAAGGGAACGGAGCTCAGAGTGTATTGCGGACTGTAGTGACGTTGGTGTTGCCATTTCCAGGCACTGCTTGGCGCCAGCAAGGCTGACCACCATCGAGCGATGTATACAGGTAGGAAGTACCTATGCAACGGATCACTGTGTCCAGCGCTGCAACTTGACAGTGGGAAAAGCGGTTGACAGGCCGGGAGGATGCGAGTATACACAGTAGGTGCGCTGTTGGGTGCAGAGTTCGCTGTGCCCCAGGCGGGCCGGTCCGGGCCGGGTCATGATTCCGGCGAACTGGATTCCAGGGGCCGATTCAGCTGCTGCCAAGCAGCCCTCGCCGCATATCGCAATTTCCTCCCATATCTTCCCGCAGTTCTGACGCAGCGCTGTGTTTTGGTATTCCAATGGTGACACGCCGCTCCGGCTCCTCAGGACCTGCACTCGATTGCCTCGACATTTGGCGACTCCACGCTTGAAGCATCGGCAGGCGCGTGAGGGCTTGGAGCAAACTGAGCGGGACACGTGGGCTACCTTCCCTTTGCTTAGTGATAAGTATGATGTCCTGAAACGCTTGGCTCATGGCCAGAGGATTTAGTCGTGGGCAATGGTTAATATTCTTGCGAGTCGTGATGTTAAAACACTCAAATCGAGTCTCGACGGCGGGGGTAAGAAAGAACCGGAAGACACAGAAAGAGCTCAGAAGAAGTGCAGGCACGGGTTGTCATCCCACAACCCGCAAATGGATAAGACATACGAGCGCCTACTCCACCCGCGGCAGCGGGGAGAGCCCCAAGCTTCCCCATCTGTCCCGAATCCCGCAAACCTTGACCTCCCCGCGCAACAATGAGGGGCACACCACCACCAGCCTTCGTTTGCTCGGCCATCGAATTCTTGGCTGAAGCCGACGTTCTCGCAAGCAACGTCCGAGGGCGCGCATCCAAGGCGCAAATACAGTTAGATCAACGGGGCAAGGACGAGGATGTGATCGCCTGGCGCGAGGCAACATCACAGAGAATCAGAAAAGCAAGCGCGAAGAGTACTTCGTACACCGTCAGAAAATCATGTCCGATTTTGTTCATTCAGGACCAAGGCAAGGCCTGCCGTTCCCAAGTCCCTGATGCGAAGAATAACGCGCACTGTGCAGCAGCGCGTAGTGTAAACGCATACACTACAGGTTCACGCGTCTCCCAGAAGCATCGCACGAGGCTGCTAGCAGGCAAATGCAGTAGCATTGATGATGGCCTCACATCGCGCTGAGGCTAACCGAGATGGCCCTGCGCGATACCAATCCTTGGCACACGACCGGCACATAGCTTGCCAAGGTCATGGGTCACCATCGGACGACACCAGCGCCACGCTAACGTTAGCTGTCTTTCAAATCGAGCTTCAAATCTGAGCGAAGGGGGACGTTGTCATTCTCTAGACTATATTTGCTTCAAACTTCTTGCGGCCCACAACGATTTCCGACTGCATCGAGGGATAGTCCACGAGAACCTCATCGGAACCCTTCTTTGTGGAACGGAGTGATCGCGAACCAGGCTCCGGGATCTGGGAGAGCTGGACAAACTGTATAGACCGTTCCTGCGACGGAGTGGCTTTTCGGACGAAGGGTCGGAGAATAGGGATCGATGCAGCAATTATGCTCACGGCGGGCTCAGCGACACCGAAGACCTTGATATCCACAGTTGTAGCTTTTGCCTTATCAGCCCTAATGGAACCGAGACAGAGAATGGGAGATAACATCAATGGTAGACTCACTACTACTAGCCGAGATATCCTTCAGGGAGATGATTCTCAGGAACGCGATAAATCCAGAACTTGTTCCAACAGTTAGAAGACGGTTCCAAATCGGCGGGGCTGTAATAGGGGCATACAACACGCCCATACTCATAGCAACCAGTGCACCGAGCTTCTCCCTCTTATTTATCGTCAAGTTCCAGATAATCTTCCAAGGAAGGATGGCAAGCACAATGTCGAACACGCCAGAGTATACTATTGCCATCGTTAGTGTGTCGCGCCAAGCGCATCCCTGTTTCTCTAGGCCACGTACTGCTTGTGAAAGTATGGTAATGTTCGACGGTCGTCTTGGGCCAGCACGTCCCTGCCATGTCGTATAACCAGAGCTTCGGTATTGGCCAACACTGGATCCAAAGGATCAATCCCGAGACACCAAGCACGATATTGACCGAGACGATAATGAACCAAATCGCCCATTTCACCCACCCCGTCGATATTCGCAGCAGGGTAACGGCAAACGAAGTCTTGCTCCACGCCGCCGCGACAGTGCCGCCAAGGCCCGCGCCGTACGAGAGGATAAGCACAACGGGCAGCTTTTCTGGCTCCATATCCTCCCAGAACAGGCCGATACCGTACTTAACGCCTTCGGTGAGCATGGCGGACGAGGCCAGGACGAGAACCTAATACGAGAAACTCAAACTGATTAGTGACGAACAGCCTTGTAACTGACTTACATATTTGCTAAAGGGACTCGATATCGTTACCGTACCCAGCTGGCAATCAGGAAGTAGTCGTCCCACCAGAGCAGTCGACCCCGGGACAGCTTGCAGTACAGCCGCAAGGCGAGGAATACCGCAGCAGCGATGGTCAACGACCATATCGCCCAGAGCATGCGTCCGGCGAAGCTCACCACCTCGCGGGGTAGCAACTCGTCGTGATGTGCCATGCCCCGGAGATGTATGGCAGCTGAAGGGAATTGGCGCAACTGATTTAAATGGTAACTATTACAATCTGTAACCGAACTGATTTCTGTTAAGCGAGGAACTGCATAGACGGCAGTTGCTCGTCGACAGCGCGGCCAGAGTGGAGTAATTATGCATTTGGAAATTGAGGACAACCAGAGATTTCGGTCACAAAGTTGAATGGAGGGCCGTTAATTCATACGTGCCCATGTAAGGTTGGTAGGCACATGAACGCGAGCTCGGTCCCTCGAGCGGCATGGTCGATCACATCGAACATCCGGGTTGAGAGCGCCAAGCTGGGAGCTTTCGGAATTTTTATGTAATCAAACTAACCCAGTTCGTAGCAGTCTTGCGAATTCCTCCAAGCCTCCCATGAACCTTCCTCACAGGGTCAAGACACTCCCACTATTCCACAAACCTATCACAGCAGCTTGACAAGTCCAAGCAACCGTTCATTGGATTTCACAGTCGAGCGCTCTGTCTGCGCTTCGATGCAATCCTGCGCACTAAATGAGTTCCTTGTCTAGTGGCGGTCAGGCACCTGGCTTACAAACTCTGGAGGCGTCCAAGGCACTTTCACCGGTGCCGCGCGCTAGGTTAGCGCATTCGAGACCGAACTCTGCGCGGGGTGAAAGTGTGTTGATCGCGATGCCGTCACTAATCACCAGTGGAGGTGCTTAGGCCCCCCTAAGAGTGGATGCTCACACTAAAGTTCAGGTAGGTTGTGGCTATAGTGGCTATAGAAATAGCCCTGTAATGCCCCAGACCACTCTATCTATACTAGTCTCCACGAACAGTTCCTGGATCACGGTCTGTATAGCTGACGCAGCCAAGCCAGCTCCAATCACGAGAACTCCAGGGTATCTTGCGAACCCCAGACCTACCTCCGACGATCTCCACTGAACTAAAATTCCCCGTCGTTTGACGTTAGTACCGAATGGGGAAAGCACCTCGCTTTGAGTGTCAGAGCTAAGCCCAGCAACAAGCTCCAGAACTCTTAGTGCGTACGGGTTGCCGGAACAAGGATTTGTTCGCGGCAAGTCCCTCCCTGCCCAATTTTTGCACTAATCAACAAAACAACAAACGCGTCTTGGCAAGCACGCCACCCATTCTGTCGAAAGATACCAAGAGGTAAGCAGGCGACCTGAAGAGTAGGAAACAGAACAATTCCAGAGAAGAGAACAAAAGGCCCTTAATGCATCTCCTCTCCTTCTCTCGTTTTAGTATCTGCCTATGCTCTGGGGATAGGCGGCGATTATTACTGTGGAGTTTGATGGACAAAAGCATACGTACTGTACAATAATGCCGATTGTTGCATGGGCCAGATGGTCTGAGATAGTAGATTTAGCAGGGGCTCAGGAAAGGCAGTTCAGAGGTAACTAGTAGCTTAGCGCCAAGATTGCTAAGGAGTATCTTTAATTGTACGAGGTCATCAACCTAATTGTACGGGATCCGCACAGACCCCCTGAATTCCGCCACACCTGTGCCGGGCTGAGCCTCGGCAAAAAAAAAAAAAAAAGAAAAAGGAAAAGGAAAAGGACAAACTCCAGAGCAAAAAGATCGGTTCGAGCGATTTGGTGATAATGGGGATTGTGGCCTTGGGATCTATCGCAGGGAAATCAGGCATCTATTCCTATCTGTCAACTAGCCTAGGGGGTGTCCGGCACTGGCGTCCCGAGCTGTATGGCTGCGCTAGACGCAGGATCTGTACCTCCTTGGGTCTCCTCTACTCTATTTGCTGGCCTCTTCCCTGTCCCTGACCTCGTCCCTGTCCACGACCTCGTCCCTGTCCACGACCTCTTCCCTGTCCTGACCTCTTCCCTGTTCTGACCTCTTCCCCGTCTTCCTATAGTCCCCTGGACCCGCGACCGCCGTCCACGTCAGGTAGTAGTGGTGGAGAGGGGTGAACCTTTGTACCTGCTATTGCAGAGAAGTAGCCGACAAGCGGTAATGGATTCTCACTGTCTAGGTAGGAGCGATAGGTAAAAGGGGCAACTGTGATGGGGCCGTTGCTCACACACACACACACACACACACACTCAGGGAGGCTCCCATGAAGGGGTTTTCTCGACGAGGATTAGGGTTGGACGAGGGTTGCAGAGGCTCAGCCCGAAACAGGTGTGGCGGAATTCAGGGGATCTGTGCGGACCCTGTACAATTAGGTTGGTGACCCCGTACAATCAAAGATACTCTTGTTAAGTTCAGGAAAATGTCTACAACTGTTTAGAACAAGGCAGATACTCTAACATCACCAATTGATTTATTTACGGATATGATAAGCGAGCGGCGCGGACAAGCGAGCGGCGCACTAGTAAGGGCTGTGTACGTCCATCCTTCAGTACCCAATTACTCTGGTACAGTAAATTCGTAGCTGTTAGCTTTCCAACACTTCGGGAAGGCTACCTAAACTCCAAACTTCTGTTCAGACATGGCAGAACAAAAACAACAACCATAGCAGACATGTCAAAACCGACCGATATATCGCTATAGCCACGATCAACGAAGATATTAAACTCACGGGCCTAACAACTATGTTGGAATGACAAACAGCCATGTATCCAAGGATGTCACTCAGATGAGAGCTTTCAATAGTAGGTGTGGCTCCTCGTGAGCGACACGGAAGTGATTGATTGAAGGTGGCGATGAATGAAAATAGTTCCTTTTCCTTGGAGAACCCCACAACCGTGGAGGTTGCGAAGAAGTTCTTCCTCAAGACCCGGATCGATGAGAACACCCACTCGGTTGCCTTTTGCACGCCGAGCGTATCCACGTTAAGTAGGTCCCAATCGGCGCCCCTGGCTCGACAATGATTTTCATGCTAGGTGCTGATGTGGACTACAAACAGTCGACCTCTACTGCAAACAGCCCGGCTACCTCAACAGACCCCGACAAACTGGGGAACCGGAGGATCTCGTCACAGGAGCACCATCAGGTGTTGAGTGCCAATACGCGGTGGCGATGGGGACCAATGGCAAGAACTGGCCAGACGGAAAAGCCCAGGGTCATCGCGACGCGGACTGTTTCGCGACATACGCCATCGGTATGTTGATCACATGCATCAAACTCCCTTCTCTTTCCGTCGTATTGCGGCTGTTCACTTTGACCCCAGCCAGTCGTTAATCTTTGGTCGTTCCAGCTACGTACATCAACACCGTGTACTGGTACAGGGCGTATGAACCCAGGGATAGGGCAAAGTATCTGGAGTAATGCTTCTTCTAGTCGGTCGGACCCACCCCAGGACGCACACGAGAATTCGTATCTAGGACTAGGTAGTCTGCCGTACCAGCCCGCCGGCATAGCAACAAGCTCAATGTAACCCATAGAATCACTGGACTGATTACCTACATCACATTTGAAGAAGGTAGGTACCTTAATCATGACAGACACTAGCCTGAGTCGTGCCTAAACGTCATCGTCCAGATCAGGAATCTGCACCGGCACATAGTCCTCCCGATCGCTATCCATGTCCATCATCTCCGGCGTCGTCCCGTCCCCGAATCCTATCGTCGGCTTAGAAAGCAGATCCTCCCAACTCTCATATGCGAAATTCACCCCGGCGAAGGCAAATGCCTCTGGCACCCCATACTGCTGCAAAACCTCCCCGCGCCTACCATCCATCTCGGCATCGCACCGGACGCTCGCCAGCGCAGCAAACCTCCTGGTTCCGTCATCCTCCCTCGCTGTCTTTGCCTTCTTCGCCAGGGCCACCAATGCATTTGGCAAGTCTCTCCCTCACATTGTTCCCCCAGCTCCCGGGGCCCGGCCAGACACAGCGACTCGATATTGGGCGGAAGTAGGCGCGTCAGGAGCTGGTCATCTTCGTCATCGCCGCCGTCATTGTCATCGTTTGTGGGGGCAGATCGGTCTTCTTTGCATACGGCATCGGCACTGAGAAAGACGTGCTTTAGAGCCAGGAAGCCAGCCAGAGTGGTGTGGGTGGCTTCGGAAGAGACGTCTTGCGAGTGATGCGAGAGGGAGTCGGCGGCGTCCTGGGTGCGGAGTTTGAAGTGCAGCGAGGTGAGGGTGGCTGCGTGCGGGAAGAGGCGGGTGAAGGCGTCGACGGGCTGGAAGTGGCCGTCGTAATCGACTGCATGTACTACTAAGGTAGGGAATGGAGGGGGTTTGCGTGTTAGACTAGCCATCCTGAAGGTGGTATTTGATTTTTGAATTGGTCCGGCAGATGGGCGAACTGGAAAGATGGCAATTAGGTTGCAATTACAAGAATCTTGTGTATGGCTTAACCACAAGCGCGGAGACCTGGCCTCGTAGTAAAACGACCTCAAACCTTGGCTCCCTCTGCATGCATCCGGCAAGACCGACAGGCCGTTGTCATAAGCCGGCTGCAGGTTTGCCGGAGTGCTTGTACCGAACTAAGCCCTGTGGTTTGACCTGGCCAATCCCCCCACATATGTGAAGGTTAAGGGTCGACAAGCTGCTGCTGCCCTTGCTCTTGCTGGCCGCGACCGCTTCCAAAATGCCCGCGGCGTGGTGTTTCAGGAACGACACCCACAGTCCGACCGGGGACAGAGATCAAGTGTCTTCAAATTCGAAAGCAGCGCTCCTCCGGCATTACTGCCCGACAAACGACGCAGTACCGAAAATGCCGCGACAGGAACGCACCCCGGGCCTTCAACCTGCAAGCTCAGGCGCTCTAGATTGGGCGCAACAGTCAGAAGCATACCGACGAGTTTCCATCCCGGATGCCTCCGCGGACCGGGGAAATGGAGTCTCTGCTCTTGCAGCTCGTCAAACGCGCCCTGGTATTCAGAAAGAAGCTGGGCACCGGCTGCGGGAGCTATTACAGCTGCAGCTTTCAGCGCCTCCTCCAGCGTGAGCTGAGCCTCTTCCTCGGTAATGGCCCGAAGCAGGTGAGGGTGCACGTAGATGCGCCTCACTTGTGCGACTAGATCTTTGCGGGTGGCGACAGTGAGCAGGAAGGAGGCCAGTCGGCCCTCCCAGGAGAACTGGGTTGATCTCCATGCATCGCCATAACCGGGGACGAACTCGTGGTAGAGAAGTGTCTGGGCGACGGAAGCCAGACGTTTGGACGCCAGCCACACCGAGTGGAGAGTCTGGCGGTAGTCGCGCGAATACCATGATGGTTGGCCCGGCTGCTGCTGTTCAGAGCTCCTGCAGCAAAAGTAGCCGTTGGGCAACTCATAGCGGTGATCCTTGCTGCAGTGCAGGCAGAAGTGGCCTAGAATGAGAGAAAGCGTCTCGACTGGTAGGGTGCCGAGGTTGGGTGCCATTGGAACTTCAACCCGGGAGGAATTTATTGCCGCACGATAAGAGGTAGAGCAAGGATAGCTGAGCAGAACGTATGAGTTTGGGGATGGATGTCCAACAGGGAGGTGTACCTGAGGTGAATAGAGTCGTCGATGCCGTGGTAATTAATCAGTGCCGGAAACCGCCTAAGTGGAACTCGCCGAGAGCTTCGAGTTTCATCGAGGATCAAGGTGATTATCGGTATCTCCGTTGGTACGAGCCTATGCCTCAAGCCTCGAGTATATGTCAGGGCAACGGAACTATGCCTGAGGGTCTATAGAGCAGTGACCAGCAATCCAGGTCTATATACAAGGGTGCCAGAAAGAAAAGCTTCTTGTGTTGACGTTGACCTCTGAGGGTTCAACCGTAAATCTCAGTCAGCAGGCCCACCCGCTTCTTGTTAATCCTACGAAGTTGCAGTTATCCTACATCTGCATTATCTTCAAAGTTCACCACTAAATCCATCACTATTCTTGAGTGCCTTTAGGGGTTTGGATTAGTATATTGCGTCCTGAATATCTCTCAAGTATGGAGAAAGGGCTAGGCTTAGGCGTTTCCTAGAACAGCTCATAAGAGAGTATTGTTGGAACTTGCAGACCGATGACCGCTGAGATATGCGCTGGAAGAAGTATTCCGAGTCAAAGCTTGGATTGAATTGAAAGGTGGTAAAAGTGCTTTTTGACCACGCTGTTGATAGGCATGGGAGAGGACTAAGTACATAGGTAAGGAAGAGGGGTTGCAGTTCTGGCACCAATCAACCACCGAGGTCCGTTGAATGCAGCCATTAAGGCGGCTTCGTTCCGACACGTATATCATCAGTCCCGCCATTTGGCCTTATAACTCTTCAACGTTAACAGCTACCCTCGGTGTCCAAGCTAGAGTACTACTACCAGTTACCTACCACTGTATACTAGTATAGGCTAAACTTACGCCGGTCGCCGAGAAATTTCACTGATTTACTGTTGCTAGATAGTTAGTGAAGCACAGCAGACCGGATTAAGGACGTGACGCTGCAGATAGGGGAGGATAGAGCTCAGCCCTAAAGTCGCCAAACGCACCTAAGCTTGCCGGCCGGTGACAGGCTCTCTTAGGGCTGAGGGAAACATTCTCGGGTATTTGGAGATATAATGTGGCGCTACGGACAGAGCGTAGCCCATTATCGAGGCCGTCAGCATCCACATGGTAGCTTGTACGGCCGCGGATTGGATAAAGGACCACACGGACAGGAGTCCAGGGAATAACCTCGATGAAGGCGAGGAGTAAGTCTAGGACGGTGCAGGCCGCAATCCTCAAATGTGTCCTACATAGGCGTGGCCCCCCCCATGACACTGGGCATATCACTCGACTTCGGAGAAATGGAGTGGACTCTCGTCGCTTGTGGCTCCCAGGCCATGACTATCGGGTTACCTCCTCCTCCTGCGCCTCGCATCCGTTTATTGTATTGACTTGTCACTAGACCCCTTTGGGTGTGCGTCCGGTCTCTTGGGTAGAAAATATGGCATTGCTGAAGCTGAGTGTAGAACATATATTTGATGTGAAGGTCCGGCACGCCCTAGGGCACAGCGGTGTGAGAATAATAATATATTTGATGTATTTCCGTTCGATTGCTACCGTGTCGACCACAGCATTCATCCGCCTTACACTGACTTCTCTCATACGTCCTGTAACGACAGGAACGAAGGAATAGGCGGGCTTCGCTGTACCTGAAGGCGGCGCTAGTTGCCGCCGTGGACATGAAAACATGCAAACATCCAACAACGCCTCGACAACAACACATATCACGCAATGACAGCATCTTCTATTTTACGGCACGAGTTACTTGTCCGGGCCAACCGACATCTGGGTCACTCTTCCGGGGTGCCAGACGACCTGCCCGAAGCCCTACTTTGACCTCTATGGTGACATGTGGCCGCGGCTCATAACCTGGCTTGTGCCAGTCCTTCTTCTGATCGGGAGCGTCCATCTCCCGCGCATCGGCTACGTCAACCGCGTGCTTGTCATTCTTCACTCCATGGGCGAACCCGTCAACTCCATGTAGGCGCTGCTCAGAAAGGGCGAGGTCTGGAACCGCTTCTACGCTCCCGCCCTACGACGTACCCCTGCAGGCCCGGACTACGTCGGATGGTTGGGGTCCGTACGGCGCCAGTCAGCGGTCAGCGCGCGGCCAGCCGGACCGTCAATACCACAGTATCGCGCCCGGGCTGGCCATTATAGGGAGCTCAAATAACTGACTAGTCCAACGCCTTCAATTGGCTTCCGGTAGTTACCTTGGTGTAGAACCACACAATCCATCACATCCTTTTATTTTACTTTCAGCACCACCCGTTTTACTGCGCCATGAACACAGCGACACTGACCCGGTCACCAGAGAGAGGTTACAGGAACCCGGACGCGCAGTGGGTGGATACCGAAAACGTCTCGGCTGTCAGATGGGAGCGGACTCAGCGGAGGCTGCGAAGTCTCCAAGCGGACTGGCGGTCTCGGCTCGGTCAGAAACCGAGTCAGTACCACTCTCACCCAATTGGCTCATTCGCGGTCCCGTCTTACCTGGACTCCAAGTCCTTCCTTCTTAGGCACATGCAATTCGATCATGCAGGCCCTGGATGACAAGGTACCCAGAAAAGAGCGGGATATGGCTTGCCCATCAGGTGGACATCTGCCTGGTACAGATAGGGCTGCAGGGGTTATATTGATCCTAGACGCAACTGAGTGACGCTGAGGTGACACTGCCACATGGGTTTATGGCTCCAATCTCGCTTTCCTCGATCCTACCCAAACTCCGAAGGGCTTTTACACGTACCATTCTACGGTGAGCGTTTCCGCGACGAGGAACTTTCGACACCTGGTTTTGAAGCATCCATTGGTCCGGAGCTGCCTCGAGGACTCGCCTGGCAATTCCACATGCGAATCTGTCATGGCGAGGAGTATACAGGACGACACGGGCGCCCGCTAAACAATTTCACATTTAATATCTCCTCGACTATAAAAAATTCTACAGTATCTCAGCTCGAACATTCGCGGTACTTTACAGGTATACAGACTCCTTTTACAACGTCTAGATCCCCCCTAGCTTCGTTCTTGACACCAGAGAAGTCATACGAACTTTATCACGATATCTTCAACCAACGGTACCCAGACAAACGGCACCGGTGGCAAAGGCAAAACAATGCGTGCCGTAGTCTGGGAGGGCAAGCCCTTCCATCTCGACGTCCTCGGGAGCACTACTCCGCCCAGATCATGGGTCACGAGGTACGTCAAGCCAATCCGCAAACTCCCCCTGAGTACATTACCGTAGGCACCAGAGCATCGTGACACTGACATTGTTGTACAGGGCGTGGGCGTAGTGGTTGAAGTGGGCCAGGTCAACGAGCACTTCAAGGTCGGAGACAGGGTTCTCATTCCCGGCGTAGCTGACACGGGTCATTTCTCGGTCGACGAGACGGACGAAGAGAGCCGCCTGTTGTATGGACTGGGACTCGACTTTGGGACTGAGTGGAGCCACAGGCCGAGTACCTCCGGGTCCCTTTCGCCGATGATTCTCTGGTCGCCATCCCCGACGACTTGTCCTCGGCTTGGACTGGCTCGCCCTCTCCGACATCTTCGTCACCGGCTGGGCCGGGCTCAATTATGCTGGCTTTGAGGCGGGCGGCTCCGTCGCCGTCTTTGGCGCCGGGCCGACCGGCCTGATGTGCGCGTACCCCGCCATCCTCCGCGGCGCCTCAACGGTCTACGCCATTGACCACGTCCGTGACCGGCTCGACAAAGCCGCCTGCATCGGTGCAATTCCAATTGACTTTACCTCGGAAGCCGGACCTGCAAGCAATCAGATGCTGCGCCGTGAGGCGAACGGGTCTAACGCACCATCGACTGCATCGGTCAGTATTGCCTAAACAGCCGCCTCAAGAGGCAGCCAAACTACGTCATCCAGGAGGCCATCAAGGTCACCAAGTACAACGGCGGCATTGGGCTGGTGGGTGCGTATGCCGCGCTGGGAAAGTCGGCTGGCAGGCCCCTGGCCGATACGGTCGACGCGGAGTTGTCTATCCCGATTCCAGCTATGTTCCTGAAGCACCTGTGTATCGATGGCGGCACTGTCAGCCCCTATTATTATGACATCTTGCCCTAAGGCGTTCGAGCTGGTCAGGAGTGGAAGGATCCGGCTGGACTTGGTTGTCACGTCCCAAGTTGGCATCGAAGGTGCTCCTGAGGCGTATGAAAGGTTTCATAAGAAGCTGGTGATCAAGGCCGTTATTCGGTTTCCCTGGGTGAGAGAGCAGGCGCTTACTTCATTCGCGGTGGTCGCTCATCAGGAGGCGCCTGATGAAGTGAAGGATCAATCTGGGGAGAGATGGCCGCTCAAGTTGCTTGTGTGAGTCGCCCCATATGAAGATTCACCCCTATTAGTAGCCGGACTAACCGTCTATGTAGTCGGAGACGGAAAAGACCGACCTCAAGGCTCCAAAGTAAAGGACGTGCCCGGAATGTCCAGGCATGCGTTGTCAGCCCTGGGCTAGCCCTTTGGCCATTGCCGCTCAGAACCTGATGCCTCAGGGATTGCCGGTGCCAGTTCCAGCTCAATAACAACAAGTCGTTCATTTTCACCGCCCCGTTTGTGGAAATCAAGGAGCTTGCACGTGGTATAACGGCCTTGTGCGTTGATTGCCTAGTTACGTTGGTTCATATCATGAACTTAGAGTTCTGTTAAGTCAATGCAAGCATGCCCTCAACACTGGGTAGTTACATGGTAACCTTGAAGTCTGATGGAGTCAAGTCTTTCAACACACCATTGCGACATTAGCGAGCGTTATTTGTTTCTCTTCCATTTTCCTGGGTATCATGAGCGCTTCCTCCTTAGGTCGTAATGACGGTCCCTAAATCTCAAGCATTAAGTTAACATGATGCCGACCAGCACCTGACATCAACGGCTCAACGATACCGCTTGATGACTGCAGAAGTTGGCAGAGAGGGCCAAATACTACCTCGCCTCGGCAACCATATAATATTCAGAAGGACAAAGCTGGCAATCCGACTGGCAGTAGCGTAGGCATAAGAAGCCTGGAGGCAGAAAGCCACAGCGTCGCTCCTCCAGCTGGACATCTCAGGCGCCTTTGACACGGTCAACCACGTCCGGCTACTAGCTACCCTTCGAGAAATGCGCTTCCAGAGGTGGCTCGTCCTTTGGACGAAGAACTGGCTAACCGACCGGGAGGCCACCCTTCACTTCGACGGTCAAGCAGCTCGACCGACGGCGATACGAGCGGGGGTCCCCCAGGGCTCACCTCTCTCCCCAGTCCTCTTCATTCTCTACATCGCCTCCCTGTATAAGCGGCTGAAAGAAGAGCACCCCTACCTAGCGATTGCAGGGTTTGCAGACGACACCAACCTTCTGGTATTTGGCCGGGAGCCAGAGACCAATGTTCG